GGATGGGTTAATTGTGTGGTAATATTTGTTGAGAATAGGTTGCGTGCCAATTAACTATTTCCACTAACATCAAAATAAAATATTCTTAGTGAAATTTACTGATTTGTTTTAAAAGAAGAGTATTTTACAATTTAAAAACTTACAAAAAAAAATAAAATCAAAGCATCCAATCTTACATTACTGTCACATAAATTATTATAACAATAGCTTTTAAAAGAAAGTAGGGAAACTTTTCTGAGAGCAAACAAAGAAAAAGGTAAAAAATTTCCAAAAGATAATCTCTGAATTTTATTTCAGCAATAAATGTAAATTTCTGTATATAAATTCAAATATCTTTCTGTGATAAAATGATATTATAGTTATTTGCCCCTTTCCCCTTCTCTATCCTCTCATCAGTCATTCGCTAATTATATTTGTTGTATTTTACTCTTTTAAGAATCTCCCGATTAAAAACTTTGAAGAGCAGGAGCGAAACTGTTTAGTTTTCCGTTTTCATTATTTTTTTTATCATCCATTTTTAATTATGCCAAATAATATTCAGTTTAACGTTGCACAGTAATATATATATATATATATATATATATATATATATATATATATATATATATATATATTCGCACTTAATCCATTTCATAATATATATATTATAGTAGATTTTGTAGATGTTACCTTCAATCTAAGAAAAGGCACACATACTGATTCCTTGACAATCTCCATGTCTCTGTATGAATGTTCTTGTGTGAAAATAACATTCCAGTTCATTACTATCTCAAAAGACAGTCTCTCGCGGTTGTCATTGCACATTGCTAGCTTGTGTTTGCCCATTATATTCTTGCAATTTTTGCTTCCCAACTTTGCATTCATGTCACCAATTATTACAGCCAGATTTTGTCCATGTTCAGTCAATTCTGAAACTTTCAGTAGAACTCATCCTTGTTTCAGTTATCTGCAACTTCCGTGTTGGTATTGGCGGTGGCCATACATATGGATCATGGTCATCTTGATGCATAGTTTCTTCATCTCTCTTGTCAGTATCGTAACAGTGCTTCCTTGGTATAGATTTCTGACATTCTACTTCCTGATTGTTGTCTACTGTTTAGGATGCACTAGTGTCCATATCTGCCCTCGGGCGTCCTCTGTTTTGGCTTAAACTTGTCATATTACCCAATCTCTTTTGGGAAGTGCTTACACTGCTTCATTGGTAAGTGAATATGTTCTCCATCAATTCAAATCACTGTTCCTAAAAATGCAATGTAAACAGTGGTGACATCCCTCATATATCTACTGATGTCACTGAAGGTTTGCATGTAAAATCATTGTAGCTTCTTCAATAATAAAAAGGATCCATCATGAAGTATGTGTATTGAGAAGGAGGAGATACATTGCAAACACTCAATACTGATAGTTTAAAGAAACAATGTAGAGCTTTGGCCTCAGACAGCAGAATGACAGCAACTCCAGTCCGGGAAACTGTATGATGCATTGCTCTTACATATTTGCAAAGGAAATTGAAAGTGAAGATTTTACTTGACCAACCAGGAACATCATCATAAAATCAACATTGACTGTGAGGTATCACCAGTGCTAATTCACATAACATTTCTTTCTGGACAGTGGTTAGCTGATTAATATTAGGCCTTACTGGGAGATGCACTTTAGTTATGTTTCTATTCCAAAGAGGTTGAGATAAATCAAATCTTAAACAACTGTTTTCCATTTTCAAAGAAAATATGAATTACATGTAAGGTTTCACCTTCCAATCTCTTGTAATCCTCTTGGTAATTTTTAATCAGTTCATGTTTATAGGTTTTCCAAAGCTGAAGTTAATTGATTGGCTGACTATAAGCGCATCTTGTTGCAATTTGAAACAGGTGCATTACCATATTCAGTATCATTGTGCAAGTTTTTTTGAACATATTTGAAACAATTCTATTAACAGGTTTTAAATATTTAAAATGCGTAGCATCAGGATCATGAAAGGGTAAAAGTTGTAAATAAAATTTCTCTGTCCCTAACACTGCATAAATTCTATTGACAATTTTATGAGATCCCCTTTGCCAAAAATATCACAGTATTGATGTGTGCATATAATTCAACAAGAGGTATTTGTTGAATAGTACAAAAATTCTGTAATCTGCTTTAAAGCATTCAACTGTTCCTTTGTGGGTAATGAATTATTTTCTATCCCACAACTCCTCTCCCAGAGATAAAACGTTGCTTTCTGTTTATTGTATCACTATTTTCATGGCAAATGTTTAGATGAGCTACATTCCTTAGTTCTACCACTTCAGTTTATATGCAATTGTAGGAAAAGAAAGCCATTCTAATGAATTTCACAGAGTGAATGCATTTTCTTTTCCAATATAAAATATCTATAGATTATTATTGTAATTTTTAAATGAGGTATTATCTATATTATGAGACAACTTGTTCATTTTGGTTGTTATGCTCCTACTGTTTCATTTGTTGTACTCTCCAGCCTTCTTCAGTTTTCTGTCATACTCAGTAACCTTAGAATTTTGAACAAAGTCCTTATTTTCACTTGATACAAGTTACCTAAGCATAGAGAGTAGAATAAGAACAATCTACCCCATGGATTGAATAAAATTCTAAATTTACTGTGTATGATAGGCACCTAAAGATATCTGGAAGATATAAAGGCTGAAATGAGTATACTGATATGAATAGAAAGGTATATAATAATGATAATTCCTCATCTAAAAAGTTCTGATATAAAAAATCAGATTCCATAGATTAAATATTTCTTCATAGACTATTTTTCACTGAGGTAAACAATTATCTCCCTTAAGTTATGAATTTAACCCTGCATTAGTCACATGGGGTGTTTTGTTACCCTAAATTTTTTAAAGTGTATCTAATTCCTAGTTAACAACTTAATTTCTTTTGCTCCCACACAATAAGTGATGGCATGTAGCACATGGAGTGGTGTAGTTGTAGCTCAGTCTTCATGGGAGGTAGACATTGTTTTGTCTTCTTTGTGGCATCCTGCCACCCCACCTGATTAATATATACATATATCTCATATTTTGACTATTGCGACACAATTCTTTAATTCAACTTTCTAGTTACTATTTTGTTTCATTGCATCCAATATTTAATTTTTATTTACGTATTTTTACTTTTTCCCTTATAAATGATTATTTAATTACAGTTCTAAAATGCTTTGTGAAGAAACATTAAACTATTGACAAAATCACTTATATTTCTTGAATTATTAATCAAATATTGATTACCAGTTGGGTTTTTCAGTTATTTTCTCATCAGATCATTAAGTGAAAATAAATCAATAGTAAGTGGTTTGAAGTAATGAAGATCAAACAATTAGTTTATAAGTTTGTAAAAACTTCCTATGTTGCTTTTAATATTAACTATCATAAAATCATTCAACCAATAACAAATATTTTCCTTTCATTACTATAAGTTTGAAAATTATTTTTAAAAAATGAAGATTGTCTAGATCATGTTATGCAAGCTTGGTATTCACTTTTTTCATCTGGCAGATAGAAAAAAAAAGTTCAGAGTAGCAGTTGGTAATAAAAAGGTAAGAAATAATACCTGCTTGTCCCTAACCAGTGAGTAGAGAAATAAAATATTACTTCTGAAAAAAGAATTATACTTGCAGATATGACTGAGTTAAGTGCTTAAGATGAAAAGCAGCATCTTATTTGCAATTTCATGTTTCCTTTAGGATTGTTACTTCACAGTTAAATTGTACTTGACCTCATCAAAAACTTTACAGTATTCATTATTTTCTTTAGAGAAGAGTCAATTTTGTCTCAGTAACTGATAAATAAAGGATGAAATCTACAATAAAAACACAAGATATGCAGAAAGAGGATAATATAACATATAAATAAATATTTTTTATTAATTCATTATTTATGATGTACACAAACACACGCATACACACACAATCAATAAGAAGAGTCACTTCCAACCAATTTTGTTAAGAACAATATAAATAAAAATTAAAGTATTTACAAATAATCAATATTTTTTATCAAATATCATGCAGAATGATATATATGCACAATAAAACATTTGAATGAATTTTTTTAAATATATTTATTAAGAATACATTCAATGAATTGAAAGAAGCTATTATCAACTGCAGTGGGTACTTTTTTTGACTTGTTTTTAAGCAATTAATAGATTTTTTAATCCAACACTACTTCTTACTATAAAAAAAAATACATTTAGTGAATCATGATTACTGAATGGAATATTTGAAGTTAATTAAATAATGCTTTAGTTTTCCATGGCTTGAAAGTGGTTTCTCTACTAATGGCAAAAGGAAACACAGGTTCAGTTTCTGTTAAGAAGAGGCAGATTTTCTTTAAGATTTCTTGATCTCCAGGCCGACTAATCATTAATTTCGCCATTTACGGGGATATCTACTCAAACATGTTTCATCCACTGATAACGGTTTTAACCGTTAAACACTTGACTTTTATTTTTTAGTTTCCTTTTTTTTTAGTAACCAGTAACCTAATCCAATACCAATTAAGTACTCCCAAAAGTAAACAAACCCCAAACTCTAGTTACCTTTTTTTTTTTTTAACTCTAACTAATCCAATACTAAAGACGAGTGTTGCAATCAGATAACTGACAACTTTAGTTAAACATATTTCCAAATCTATTATCGCTGATCACCCAAAGTAAAATAAAGGCTTTGATCTACAAAAACAAAATAAAAATGCGATCTACACATGTTGACCTTTTTACGGGGCGGGGGCTAAAAATGAAATACATTAGGAAATATGAACATTTTTGATTCAACCCCATTAACAAATCCATTTCTCCCGGTTTCATTCACTTAGTACATGTAGTATATAAGTAACAACTAAAAGAAATAAAATAAAAGTAAGACTACAAGACTAGAAGAGCATGACCTACAGAAATTGTTTTTTTTTTTTTGGGGGGTTCTGTGGTAAATCAAAGGCGGAAGTGACGTAAAAACAAAACCGGATGACGTTGAAATGTTAAAGATGGCTTCTGTCATACACTTAACGAAGCTTTTTAGTATAAATAAGGTGAGTATACCGATTTCTGTGACGTCTTAGAGGGAATTATTAGCTATTTAATTATTCCCCATGAATTAGTTTTTTTATTAGTATATCTCTATGGTTGTAATTCATTCACTTTATCGATTATGTTCGTTTTGTTCCATTAATTCTCCGAAATGTCTGTAGCACTTAAAAGCACATGTTACGTTCACTGCAGAGAAATGATTGATTCCGGGCACTTGTGGATATTTTTATCTCTTCTCGTGAATCATAAATATTTTTCATTTTAGTTATTTTTTTTTTTTTAAGTACGAAGTATATCAAAATATAAACGGGAGTTAAACTCTTTGTGAGCTCGTTCCGAATAACTCGAACCGCGCGATTTATCATTTATTTAAGTCTGTTTTTTAGGTTTATTTTATTGTTTTGAAAAAAATTGGTGATAAGATCTGATTAGATTTTACAAATAAACTGAGTGATTATATTGCTAGGGAAGACTTCCTCAAGGTATATTGTTAATGTTGCTTATCTTCATTTCGAATCTAGATCAACCCATTAAAGAAGCAACTTTTTTCTTCGCTAAACCAAACGAATAACGACACTTTCTCTTTGACTTTCAGTAGTATTTATTGACAATTGTGCTTTTTGTGATTCGTTTTAGTAGTTTTAGTTTAGAGAAGATATTGAGATGAAATTAGGGAAAATTCTCAATGTTAATTGTTAATCGTTTTATTTTTTCTATCAAATCTAATTTCCAGATTTCTGCAAATAATGGTTACTTTATATTACTACCATTTCCTTTTTTGCCTTTCGTCCTTTGTCTTTTTATTGCACTATATTAGTACACATCGATCAAAATAGAAAAAGGCAAAAAATTGATGACACTTTGGTTGAACGAGTGAAACAACACTGATACAACACTCTTTTCCCTCGTGAATTATTTTTACTACTTCTTACCTGGCTTTTTAATAGTTGATAGGCTTTGTTCTTCATTTTTACGTGACCTTCAAATAAACTTGTTTCGCAATTTTATTTTTATTTTTAAGAAAATATTGTTTTTTTTCCCAAAATTATCGTCTCTTCATTTTAAAAATCAAACATACAAATTTTTACTTTGAATTTTATTTTCTACGTTTTTCTGTTAGCGTTGAAAAATTTTGGCTTTTCTTTAATAGCTCCCAAACCCAATGGAATTGATTAAAAATGGAATTAAAATTTGATTTTTAGATGAAAGTTTTTTCTTCGCCCCACTTTTTTTTTTGTTTTGTCTCTTTTTAGAACGTTGTTTTACTTTTTTTTATGAAACATTTTTTTTTTATCTAGTCATATTTTCCTTATTTTCTGCACTTTCGCTATTATTTATTTTTTTTAGGCTTATTTCTTATTCTTGAATTATGATCGCCCCCACTCCAAGCACAAAAAAAAAAAAAAAAAGTAATATTGTTCAATCGAACTTGATTGAAAAGTGTATTAAGTCAATTTCAATTCGGTTAGACTAAAAAAAAACTGTTTAATTTTGGGCATAAACTCTGACAATTACAAATATAAAAAAAATGTACCAATTATTTTCTTACTGACTAAACTTCCTTCTGATGTAATAAGATTCTTATGTTTTTTTACAAGCCAGTTAAATCTCGATTGAAATATAATTAAAATTTTTCACTAAAAAAACATATTCAAGAAATTCAAATAAAATTAATGGTGACTGATAACCTAGTGTGGTTTTATAATTCAGTTTCTAGTACAAGTAGAAAATATTTTTTCAAGCTCATAAAATATATCCAGGTCTCATCAAATCCACTTCCTACTATTAGAATCTTATCTGAGTACAGTGCAAGATCAAATAGAGTTAAGAAGAATATTGTATTACACCAATATTGAGGTGAGCGCTGTCTTTGAAATACTGGTTCATTACTTGGGTTCCAAATACTCGCTAGTCGGAAATTCAACCATATGACAAGCCACAGTAAAACTTCCATATCTAAAGCAGAGTTTGTCACTCTTGCATTTGAGCTGAGACGTTCAGTAAGAATTAAAGCAATGTTTTAGTTAATAGACAAAGAACAACAGTGGAAAATGTGATAGTTGAAGGAACCAACACATGTTACATGTAGGAACAAGGGATCTGAAAAAAGCAGATAATGGATTTAAGCTTTTAAAATTCACAATTTTTTTTAATGAAACCCACAAAATGGGAGTGCTCATGCAAGTCACGCAAAAATCATGGATTAAACATAAATCACAGGAAAGGAGAGACTTCAGAAATTGTTTGCACTTGGTGAAATGTATACTCTCTCAGGCCAAGTTTCAACATTGCAAAAAACTGCAGAGCACATTACCCAACACATTATTTAAAAAAATCAATCATATTCTTTTTCAAAACAGATTTCGAGATTTTTTTATTTGTTTTTTCACTTTCAATTACTTAAAAAATCTGGAGTTCAGCAAATGTCAGGTGTTTTCAGGCACTTTTCAAAATGTAACATTATTTGCATACTCTTTTCCCATTAATGGACTCCTATTTTTTGCTCTGTCTTGAAACTGTCTTCTTTTTTTTTTTTTCTATTTTTTATTTTTTTTTCAGATCTTCCGAATTAACCAAGCAAGGCACCAATTCTGTCATCATGTTGGGGTGCTCAGCCGTTGTCCTTCAACAGTCAATGCACAAAAACAGGAATTACTTGTCACATCACATATTAGTGTATCTCCAATTGGAATATCTCAAGTAAGTTTTCATGACTCTTCTGCATATTCAGTTTTAATGGATATCAAATTATTAAATATATAATTTTGAGCTAATCTCTCAAATATATTTTAAACATTTAAATTTAGAAATGCTTCATTTTTTTTTTTTTGGTACATCGCAATAACAATTAAAAATTGTCTCTAATTATTGAATTCTGTTTATGCTTTTGCCACAAACTCTAAGTTTTAAGTTTTTCTAGAAATTATTCTTTTTTCTAAAAAGAATAAATGCTAATAATTAGTTAAACCAGTGACACTAAGTTTCTGGAAGTGATAATTGGTATCTTTACTGTTCTGTGATCAGTATCATAATTCGATATAACAACAAATAGAATTATAATGTTCACAGCAAGTGGTACAAATGGTTATCAACGACAGTGAAACATGATCATCTTTCTGTTATTTTTCAAGTTATTCAGATTGTTAAATTGAAACATTTATGTACCATATAGGTGACATGTTCTATCCTTTAGGACTTCATCAGACTGAGTTTGTTTGTTGGTGTGATTGCACATGCACACAATCAAGACATACTGGGAATTCTAATTTTAAATTATTTTCCATTTTATATGTATGTGTGTTTTGGTCATATAATCTAGCCAATTTCATTTAGATTCTTTTTCTTTTTGTTTGGAATGTTGTAAGAGATTGGGCATGGTTCAGCATTCCTGGCAGATCTTGTTGTCAAAGTGTGGGATACCCAATAACAAAAGTGATGGAAACAAAAAGAATCTAAATGAAATTAGCTAGATTATATACCCAAACACACACATGCATATATGAATGAAAAAACAAGAGGAAAACTAGTCTTTTTCAATTAACTTGATGAATATTTATGAGCATTCTTACATTTAAAAATTTTGAGTATACTTGTTGCAAAATGGGATCATTACATTTACCTTGATAAAGTTCGTCAGATGATGAAATGCATAGGTTAAAAACTAAGTATAATTTTCCTTTTGTCTTTTCATTTATTTAGTTTCTTTTACAGAAATACTCCATCTGAGAATATTTACATACATACATACATACATATATATATATATATATATATATATATAGCTTAAAATCCATCCAATAGGGTGGCATTTAAGCTAACTCCTGTGGAGGGCTCTTGATTGGGCCTTCATCACAATAGTTAGGGAGGAGTAGACGCGATAATAAACTACAGAACAACTCAAAATTGATCACTGCATTTAAGTATTGCATTAATATTTAATCTTGCCTTTTAAAAGTTCAACGATAATTCTTCTGCCACCAATTTAAAGATAATTTGATGTACATAGGTCCTTATGTTCCATACAGACAATTATTTTTATTTCATGGGTGACTTTTGTTGGATTTTGCAATTAATTTTGATTATTTCCAAGTTATAAAAATTGTTATCATACAAAAAAATTAATTGCAAAGAATCATGTAAAAAAAAAAAAAAAAAAAAAAAATTACTGAAAACAATCACAGTAATGAAAACTTAGGAATCCAAAATTTCAGGATTGTAGGTCCGGGTTTGGCCTGGAATATTTTTAATTTATTCACATAGTTGGTTTGATTCCTAAATGATGTGATATGTTGGGGTATGACTTCTAGGAGTAAAGTTGCATTTATTATATAGATATATATAAGGAGAAAATAATTTAAATTTAGAAATCCCAGCAACATGTTGATTGTGCACATGTGAAATTACACCAACATAAACAAACTTGGTCCAATGAAGTCCTAAAGGACAAAACATGTTGCATGAAAACTTTTTTTCCTCACATTGTCATACATCCTTCCCCTGAAATTGTCCTTGATATATAAAAATTATATATTGTTATTCTATGTACTCTCTCTCTCTCTCTCTCTCTCTCTATATATATATATATATATATATATATATATATATATATATATATATATATATATCACAGCTGTTTGAGGTTTCTTATAGCCCCACTGAACTTAAATAAAGTCAATTCAGGTTTCCTATGGTAAAAATTTTCTTTCCCAAGTGAAAATCATCACAAAAATGGCAAAAGTCATTTTGTCACAGCTTATTTTCTCTCAAAAAATGGATTTTCATACTTTTATAGGGTAAAATATTGAAAAATGACCGTTTTATCATCATCTAAACTAATATCAAGGAAACTTTTGATCTGAACCTCATGAAACTAGGTATTTTCTGAAAGCAAAGGATATATTCTTTCATTTAAAAGTAAAATTAGCTGGTGTAAATGACTCAAAATTTTTTTCAGTGGGTAAAATGTGAAAAAATAGTGAAAATTTTGCATTTTTTTCTTGTTCTAAACAAATATTTCCCCCATTAATAGGAAATTAACCCTTTTTTTTTTTTTTAAAAATCAGAAAGCCTAAATCATAATCAAACTATTTCAGACATAAAATTGAGAGTTTTGAAGGAAATCAACATTCCTAGGTGAACAAAATCCATTGTTAATTTTCAATTATATGACAGCCAAGGGTTAAAAAAAATTGACATCCAGCCACGGAAATCTTTAGTAAAAGGCAAGAGATTTATCTGCAATTCCTAACCACCAGAAACCAAAAGTTTTTTTTTTTTTTCCAAAAAAATAGAGATAAGGAAAATTAAACCTAATTGACTTTGACGTCTAGGTCAAAGGTCAGCCAGCCAGCCAGCAATAAACGGCAAACCTTAGAACAAGTTGTAATAAAACCCACCACTCCCAGATAAAAGCAAAGAGTGAAAAAAACAGGGTTCACAATGACTAGGGCTTGATATAACCTATGTTTGAACAATAGCTTGATGATTTTTATTTTGTTTTTAACACCCCGTGACCCGGGTGATGACAACAACACTTAGCAGACGACATTGTTTTTTTCGCCGCATATCTTTCGTATTTCCCATCGCCGGTCCATTTAGCCGTTTTTTTTATTCAATGATGTTCATGCCAAATGAAAGAGAAAGGAATGAATTTTGAAGGATGTTATTTTGAAGCGAAAATAAATATTTTTACATTAAAAAAGGGGGATTTTTCTCAGAAAATTGGGCATAATTTCTTAATGCTAACCGCCAAGTGACATTTTCCACAGCCAAATCGAAGATTAATTACCAGTGAATAATTCCATGTGCAAACAATAGCCATCTGGATCCTATAAAGTCACCCTAAAAGGTCCAGAAGTTTACTAATTGATCGAAAACCTGTTGTGCATAATTGTATTTTTCACGGTCAGTTTCCATTATTTCATCTTGATATTATCATTTTCGGACAGCCAAGTCATCAAGGATTCAGGAAAACACTTTGGCATAGGTTTTCTTTAAGAACTTGACATTCTATGAGGTGTTTAAAATGTTACTGACGAATGAGATTTTTTTGCCAAATATTTCGTTTACGTGCCATGTTGGATTTTCCTATATGACAAAAACAAGGGTTTTAAACAGCCGTGATAGAGATATATATATATATATATATATATATATATATATATATATATATATATATCAACAAACAGGATTTAGAAAATAGTATGACAAATTGGAAAAAAGCTTTTATGATGTGTTAGGATTTAAATGTGATTTTTATATTTTGAATCAATAATTATAAATCAATCTAAATCCTTTTACTTAAAAAAACCCAAAACAATTTGAATGTATTCTTAAAGGAAGCTCTGATTAAAAGTTCTACTTCAAAGATATGCACTGTAATATTCCATTGTTTTATTGTCTAGTTATGTTACATTTTATTATTTTTACATATAATTTATTTTTGGACTTGGATTTTAACATTTAAAAAAAGACTTGTAAATATTTGCTATTTCTTTACATGCAATAAAACTTTGAATTATATTTTTGTTTCCAGTTTTAATAATAATAATTGCATATTGCAATTTTCTCATAAAATACTATAAAAATGGAAAAATGAAATTTCCCAAAGTTAAAAACGGAATTTGCCAAAAGTGGAAACAAAATCAAGGAAAATTTGAAACGGAAAATCGGGGACCCTGATCAGCAGGACTAAATAATCTAACGGCCAGATGCAACAGCAACCATCAAGGATAGACATTAGCTGAATTGAGTTTAAAACAACAAAGATAAGGGCAATAATTCAACAGTGAACTGTTTAGCAAAATTATGATACCAGTTACTGAATCTTTAAGTTTTCAGTTGTCCTCTTTTGACAGACTTTGGATACCCAACAATGCACTCTCAATGCTTAAAAAAATATCATTTACCATTATGCTATGAGTAGATATACAACAGAGAACATTCCTGAAGAATGAAATAAGAAAACTGTTTTCTAGTTTTGTTTCGTGAATTAAAAATACAAGATTAATTTTTTGCTTGCAATTTCTAAAACCCAAATTAATATGAATTAAAATAATGCTTTGGTCTCTGGAAAGAGTTTGATTTTCTCTACATAAAAATGTTTTCTGTTTCAGTTTCGACATGCTTCTGGAGGGAACAAGAAAAACTTCTTCTCGGATCTTATGGGCAACATTAAACAGGAAATGGCCAAAAATAAAGAAATGAAGGTAAAGATTTTATTTTTTTTCATCAGTATTACTTTGACACACCTAACAAATTTTAAGAATTCTATATATTGTTTTTCCAAAAGATTTTATTTATTTTAATAACTAGTTTACCTGTACCCACAAACCATTGTAGCAGTATTAAGTAATTCTTCAATTGCATTGGTTATATTTTTCTGCATGAGAAATTTAGGATTTTTATCTATGGAATATACTCTACTGTTGCATCTAAAAAAAGAATTTTGTTTAAATTAAAAGTAAACAGATCCAAAGAAATCTAACATGAAACGAAAGAAATAAAAAGCCATGTATTAGAAATGTATTATCAGCTTCATCTCCTCTACTTAGTAATGAGATATTCCATTATGTTAACACAAGGCATGTTTGTTGATTGGCATTCGAGATGCATGACCAATAAATATATAAAATTTTATTTTATATTAATTTTTTTTTTATATAGAATTTTTATTTTAGACTCAAAAATCATTACCCTCAAATATTTTTTTTGTATTTTGCATTTTATTAAATGTTCCTCTACAAAAAGCAGTTGACTTTCAAATTTGTTTACTATTTCGCAATTTTCTAATGACCTCACACAACATTTGTCATCTGTGCATCTCACTTAGAATTTCAGTTTATTATAACTGAAGAATCAAAACGAGTGGTTTCTCTCTCTCTCTCTAGGAAAGCTTAAAGAAATTTCGTGAGGAACGAAATAAGTTGGAACAGTCAGAAGCCATCCAGAAGGCTCGAGAAAAATTTGTAAGTAATTCATGTTTATTATATATATATGCTTGAAGTTTTCCATGTTATAAAGTTATATATACACAATAAAATAAAAAAATTCAGTATGAAATCTTAAATAAAATAATGTTTTTTTTTTTTTTTTCTTTTCTACTATATTTGAAAATTTTTCTAAATAATAAGTGGATATTGTAGTCAACACCAAGTGGCGACAGTCTGTTTCATGCTTGAATACAATCTTCGGGCCTTTTCTATTTGCATATGCTCTATCTCTGATATTGAGTGCTCTTAAGAAATTCTTTGTAGCACTTAATATTTATATTAGTTATAAACACAAGTGCTTGGAGGATTTGAATCATCAATTTTCTTTTGCAAAACAGGATCTCCAGTTACAGAAAATCTGCTATACATCCTAAAATAAAAACTGCAATAAAACTAAGATATTTAATTAAAAAAGGTTTTAATTGCTTTCATGAATAAGATATATGATGGATACTATTGTCTTTAGAAAAAAATTTTTATGTGAATAATGAATTTGTACAAGAATTGTTTTCATTTTCTTTAAATTTTAATTATAATAATTTATAAAGTTGAAAATTTTGTATTAATTTGTACTGATTAGGTGATATTAAGTAAAAATTATATTTACTAATCATAAATGTTTTTGTTTTTTTTTGCTTAATATTACCTAATCTGCACATTACAAAATTATATTTGCTAATCATAAATGGAGGAGGCATGGTGGAGTAATGGATAGCAGTTCGGATTGAGGAATTGGAGAGCCAAGTTCGAATTCCAGTTGAATCCATTACATTCATTTATGTGCTAATACACTTGGGAAAGCTATGAATCCTCTTCTTCTCCCCCTAGCTATGGGTAAATAGCAGGACAGACCGGGTTCTATAGCCTTGGATGGCAACTGGTCTACCACAGAAAGAAATGGCAACCTACTGTGGCAAAAAAATATGCCTCGTCAGTCATGTATCGAAAGATACATGATCGCCTAAACGTGTATCACGCATGGCACATAACTGACTGAATCACAAATGGTAAAGCTTACTACAATTCAGCACCCTCCCCAGTATTTTAAAAAGTATTTTGAATTTATTTTGTGTATATATAAACCTGCTGATTTTATAAATATGGATATCCATACAGAACTCTATCAGAAAACGAGCAATAACTGTATTAAATTAAGAAATTATTGGTAATTTTCAAACATATAGTAAAATAGTGAGGAAGTTGTGGGGGAAAAAATTGGAGGTTGGTGTTTTTATCAGGTGTTGACAACTATTTAGACTTGCGTTTGGGAATTTCTTTCTATAGGGGGGGACATAACTCTAAAAATTACTTGACTATAACAAGTACCTTTTATTATGTATATATATATATATATATATATATATATATATATATATTTTTTTTTTTTTTTTAACTACCCAGTAATCTTAAAAATTTAGAAAAATATTCTAAGTAATCTAATATTTCATTGAATTTTGGCTTTATAGTCTTACATCTGAAGATTGTTGAGGAAATGTTAGAAAATTACCAGTGTCAGAGAATATGAGAAAAGACTTGGCCCCTGATATGAAGCAAAACATCTGCCCTGCCTCATGCTTAGAATGTCATCATTTCTAGTTTCTCTTTTGAAATGTTTTTGGCTCAAATAACCCTAGTTCAATCTCTATTCATTTGCAATAAAGGTTACAAATGAAACTTTGTATTTGGGATAGTATCTTTTATGTTTTTTATCAGATTTTTCAGGCTTCTTTATATTTATGTTGTATCTAATCATCCTTGAGTATTGTTTTGTATTCTCCACACTTCATGAACTTTCTCACTTCATCTATTGTAATCATCACAGAAATCTATCTTACATATTTATAAGTCTACCATTCATCTTTGCTTTGAATATTTCTGCTACATCTCTTCTAGTGCCCTGCTATACAGGTAGAGTTTCTTGATAAACTCCCAAGAAGAATTTGCAATGTTATTAGTCCTGACCTGGCATCTCAACTTCAGTCCTTATTTTCAGTGTAATGTCAATCGTTGTTTTCTGTCTTCTTGATTCTTGTTCTTTTATTGCCCTCTCCCCTTATTAGTTTTTCTTATATTCTCTAACACTCAGTAACTCTTTGCATCCTAGTGGCTTGCTTGCTTGGGGTGAAACGATAAAAAAATCATTTGGAGATCCAAGAATCAAAAGTTTTTTTGTTTTTTTTTTCTTTCTTTCTTTCTTTCATGTATGAAAATTCAAGCCTATCAGAAAAGTCTTGCTCAGACAGACGAAAAGCAAATATTCATGTTAATTTTGATAGGGGTAGTTTATTTGCCTCAAATATGAAAGGCCTAAATGACTACTCATTTATTTAGCTCTTCTGATATTAAATTAATTTCTCATTTTTTCTTCTGATTTTTGTCTTTTTTTTTTCTTTTCTTTGTGTGAGGTATCTCTTTCTACATCTGGTGTGCTCTTTTTTTTCTGCATATATGTTCTTCCATGACTGATTTCACAGCCTCTGCTCAGATTATGCTCTTTATCTTTAATAGTAAAAGCAGGTTTATCCTTTTTATTCTCTGATGCATAGGAAGTATATTAGAAAGTACATTTAAAAAACGAAACCAGGATAAAAGTTCTCGAAATTTCAAATTTTATTCATTCAAAAAGTGAGATTTAATGTTACATGAAACACATAAGTGTTAATATGCCAAAATATATATTTCTATTTTTTTTTTTTTTTTTTTTTCAGGAAAACATTGAAGCTGAAACTTTAAAAAGTTCTGCAGCTTTCAAGAAGAAAATGGAAGATGTTAAAGGTCGACTCTCTAAAGTAAGTGAGAAATGTACTTTATTCAACATTGTAATTGACCATTTTCGAGAGAAAGTTTTGTCTCAATTTTATTTTATTTTATTTGAGAAGATTTTTTTATCTTATTTCAAAAAGAAATTTGAATTTGAGAGTCGGGGAGAGATTTCATTTTATATAACAGCCATTTTTTTTTTACATTCTGATTTCACTGCATCAGAAAATTGTTATTATTATTATTATTTTTTTTTTGTTTAAGCAGAAATCTGTCTGTCCTTTGTAAATTGGGACTAGAAAAGTTCATGTAAAATGCTAGTGCACTTGATATTTGTTCTTTACTTCTAAAGCATTGGCTATCTTTGCCAGATGATTATCTAGCAAAAGTTTTTTTCACATCTTTACAAAATCAAAAACATTTTAAAGTACAAATGGGTCAATTTTGTACAAACTATTGACACATCAGTTTGATGTAATCAAGCATTGTTTATAGAAAATCTGCTATGAAAATATTACAAAATGGATAAAAAGGAAATAAATTTTACACTTAATATTACATAATTAAATTATTTTATTTATTTATTATTATTAATGTCAGTAATATTTTTGATGTTTTTCTTGTTTTGATTAAAAAATGAAAGGTAAATTGTTTTTTGTAGACATTTGAAGAAGTTCAGAAAACAGAGTTTGCAAAAAAAGGTAAAGAATTGACAGAAGAAATCAGTAAATCTGCAGAGAAAGCTGCTGAGACGATCTCCAAACAACGTGATAACATTGGACAGACATCAACTTTTAAGAACCTCAGTGAGGTACTTACAGCATCAATTTTTTCTCTTATATAAAAATGTATTACTGCTAAATTTACCATAAAAATGTATTTTTATAATTTAGTAGTTTTTTTGTTTGGTGGGTTCATTATTTGTCCATAGCTGCCCCCCCCTAACAAATGCTAGCACCCCAGGTCAGGGTGAACCTGGGAACAACAGTAATTAAGAGGTTGTTCCACACTCCTCAAAACCTCCAGTCTCCTGATCAGTGGCCTTGCTGCTTGATGTGGTTTATTGATATACCAAGGACTACACTCCTGTGGTAATTTAACCATTAGTTCATGTTCTTAAGGAGCATCCTTATGTTTTTGTCCATCCAACCACATTGAATTTGTATGCATAAGTCTTTTCCCACCTTTTGCAAAATCATCTGTTGTCATTTTTACTGTAACATGAGTAATGTGCTGACAGTGAATAAATCTCTAATTTTATTCAATGCACACGAGCATCAATCTCCCAAAAACAGGAAAAATCATTTTTATGTCTGTTGTTAAATTAATACCACCAATTCTACACTAATGCTTGCAAGAGTATGTATGAGATGCTCCAAAAATAATATTTCCTATTTATTTCCACATATACAGAGAACGCATTAACGCTGTAGGATAGAGCACGTTATCATTTTTTCAGATCAAACCCCCAACCAAAAAAGTTTCTAAAATTTCAAACTATTTGATGCTTTTCCTTTTCTCTCTTTGGAAAAAATTATATTGGATAGGTGCTTCAGGTGCAAAAATCTATAGCTTGCAAGAAAATTTATGACCCTTGTAGATATTAGTTTGCCAGGTGATTGAGCTACTTCAGTAAATGAATCCATTTATTAAATCTTGATACCACTATGGCATCAGTATTTCTCTAGATCAGCCATTCTCAACTTTTCCTCCATCATTGACCCCCTCAGCTTTATGTATTTCTCCATTTACCCCCTACTCCCATACAAAAAATTCATAGCCATCATAAAGCATTGATGTACAATTTCGTGACTAAATGAATGAATGATTTTTTCATTCAAAATACTAAGGGTTTTTTTATAGTCAAAATACTGTGCCTAAGAAAAAATACTAAGTGACACTCAAAATACTGATTTCTTATTTAGTACTAATCTACTAATTTTTTAGTATAAGTTAGTACTCTGTATAAAATTCAGTATTTTTATTAACGTTTGTAGTCATTAATAAAAAATTATTAATTTTATCCGCTGTATTAGTAGATCTACAAATTAATGCTAATCATAATCATTCATTCAAAAAAAAATTTTTTTTTAGTATTTTTGTTTTTGGCAATTTAAAAAAAGTTTTGAAAATACTAAAAAAAATTTTTTTTTGAATGAATGATTATGATTAGTACTGACTAATTTGTGACTAAAAATTGTGCAAATTAGTCATTAGTAAAAATGCCAAAACAGAAATAAAAAAAATACTGAAAAATACTAAAAATTAGTAAAAATTCAGTATTCTGATCAAAAAATTAGTAATCCATCATTCATTTGTACATCAATGTCATAAAGTGACAGAAAAACAAGGTCAGAAAGAACCTTTTTATTGTTTAGGACTTTAGGTTTTGTATAAAAATAGTATTATACATTCGTATCAAAAAAAAGAAGAAAATCAAACCTTTTCTAAATAGAAAATTATGAAGTTAATTTGTATTACAAAAAATAATGAACAGAAACACCAGAAGCATTATCAGTGGGAACACTGCTGATTCATTGAGTCAATCAGTTTGTTTATGTGAGGAGCTGTTTCTGATAATGCTACTCTCATATCAATGCTGTCATCTTTTCACTTGCTTCAACAATGTTTACTGATGTTACTTGGAGTTGTTTGTTAACTTGGTTAAGATGGGTAAATATATCTGACAGGTACCCCAAACAGGCAATGAACTTGGGATCAGCAAAATGTTCACACAGTTTTGTATTCTTGTCACGAAGAAATATTTCTACCTCACTACGGAGCTCAAACACACGATTTAAAATAAGTCCTCGTGAAAGCCACCTTACTTCAGTATGCAGTAAAAGAATGGAATGCTCAGAGCCCATCTCATTACAAAAAGCTTTGAACAAACTGTGATTCAATGCTTGGGACCGAATGAAGTTAACAGCCTCAACAACTTTCTGCAAAACAATTTTCAGGAAGAGTTTTTGCAGCTAATGCATGTCTGTGAAGAAAACAATGTGTTGTTATTACATGGGGTGCCTTTTGCTTCACAAGTGCAGTGAAGCCTGATCTCACTCCCATCATGGCTGGAGCTCCGTCAGTACAGATTGAGCCAACAATGTCCCACGTGAGATTGTTCTTGTCAAAGAAGTCTTGTATTTTCTGCATTATATCAGTAGCCTTTGTGGTTTGCTGGAGAGGTTCACAAAAGAGAAATTCATTTTTTAGTTCTTTTCCACATATGTAACAGACAAAAACAAGAAGTTGTGAAAAATTGGCTACATCACAGGTTTCGTCAAGTTGCAAAGATATTTTTGCTGGACTAGATTTGATTTGTTCAATAACTTGTTTACAAATATCTTGAGACATTTCACTAATATGCCGATGGATTGTATCATTAGAAAGGGGAATGGCTTGAATCATCTGCTTTGCTTTAATCCCACATACATGTTCAACCATGTCTAAGGCACAAGGTTTAATCAGCTTCTCGGCAATGTCATGAGGTTTCTTGGCCTTTGCTATTCGCAGCACTACATTATAGGAAGCTGCAAGCATTGGTTTCTTCTCAGATACAGCCAAGTTTGAGCAGAGTTCCTGCAGTCCTAAACCTAGCTCTCTTTGACTTAAATATAGCACGGTCATCGGATGCATGGACAGGATGTGAAGCTTCCAGATGCTGTTTCAGTATTGAAGGTTTCAGTGACACATTTCCAAGAACCTTTAAACACAGCAGACACTGAGGCTTCTCCACACCATCCACAACAACGAAGTCAAAGCCATATTGTACATATGAATCCAGGTATGTACATTTCTTGGACATGACACAATCTGAAAAGAAATAATTATGAATTACTCATGTGACTAATTCTCCATTCACTGAAAACATATCCAGAATATTGCCACTCATGACTGATTCTTCAGTTAACAGTAATACTCTCTGTGAATTTTATCAATGCCAGGTTAGTTCTCATCAAAGCTCTCAATTAATGTTTACTTTTAATTTAATGAAATATAATAAATGCATACAAACTTATAGTATTACTCTCAGAACATATAATACTAATATACTTACATAGCAGCAGTAATATACAGCAATGAGAGAATAGAATCTGCTCCAGGTCACTGCCAGAGATCAACTGAAATTCAGAACCGTGGTGTTACTGGTGGGTGAACAGTGAGCATGCCCAAACAGGACTGAACAAGATTGACAGACAATCCCCCCACACACACACACACACTTTGAATTCTCTCTCTCTCTCTCTCATTTTACAAAATTAAATTTAATTGAATTATTTTTTAAATTATCAGGTACTTCAATTATTTACCCCTGACTATATAATTTTTTACCCCCTAGGGGTAAATTTACCCCTGATTGCAAACATCTGCTCTAGATAGTGCTAATCTTTTGTATTTCCTTCTTTTCAGGGTGTGAAAGCTGTTAAAAAGGAAATTGAAGAAACTACATTGTCACGTGCAAGAACTTACAGAGCTCCAGGTAACATTCATCCCAGTTTCACTCTTCAATATAATAATAGTTTTAATACTCACATCTTTAAAATTTAGGACATTTAAATTTTTAGGTGAAAAGTAGATTTTAAAAATCCACCACGAAATCAAACCAATTATTGAATTTAAATAAAATTATTAATATTTATTCATTTATAACAGTCTTTACAGTAGAGTAAGCAACCATGGTTAAATGTAAATAAATAGAAGAACTGCCCAACAAACAGAATTGACTAAGTTTGTAATAAACAAGAAAAAGAAAAGAACAGGGCCAAAATAATATAAAGCAAGAAAACAATATATGTAAGGCAACTTAACAGGTAATAAGGCAAATAGTTCACAAACTGTTGATACACAAGCCGATTCAGATTAATGAACATAGTTTTGACTTCAAGACAGACCAAGAATGAGTCTGATGAGACTGAGAAGTAGCCTATCTTATTGGCTAGGAAGAAATCCCAGCATGCATTTGTGTGGTTTTGCCTATAAATTTGGGAGAGGAAAGCATTTTGTAGTCATTCCCACTAGAGAATGGAACCAACAAAACAACTTTTCAAATGCAAATATTTGCATCTGTAGCATTGGACACAAATAATTTCTATATCAAAATTTACAGAAACCAACTCTCTGTATGAAATACAAAATGTATATTCAACAAAAATTTAAAATTTGATATCAACATAGATTTTCATATTAAATCTGTATAATAGAAAAAAATAAGCAAATACAAATTTGAAAAGCCGGCATCAAGAATCTTAACAAAACTTGGGAATAAATTCTGCTCATAAAGTTGTGAAATTAAGTAGTTGTTATACTCAAATTTCTTGGGTGAAGCATTATCACTTTTTTTTTTACTTGTATTTCTTTTGCCTTAATTCCAGTTGCTTTTTTATCATAACTTAATCCTCATTCTACAATTCTTAGAGGACAGGGAATGGGGGGAGAAGCTTTTGATAATCTAGACCTATTACCAACCTCTGGTAATAGGACAACATCTTCAGTTACAGATATACTTATTACATAATCCATATTGTTGATATGTCCAAAAAGTCTTATTTTAATGGTAGGAGACTTTACTTATGCCTAAAGCAAAATAAAAGAACAAAGCTTTTTGCTGATTCAGTTGATTGAAATGAGATTCTAGAAAGGTTTTGACCATTCACCTGTATTATCACAATGATAAAGGGTTTATATTTTCACCTTTCAAATGACACCATGCTTTCTTTTTTGGCTATATTTTTTCTTCATAAAATCTCAAGATTTATTTTTTAATGCAATCATATTTATAAAACTTTTTAGGAATTTGTCTCAAATCAAGAATTTTAATCATTGAACTGAAAAAAAATCAATTGAGTATTTGACTATAATTTTGTGATATAACAATCTGCTGAAGTGTAAAAATTGCATAAATATTTGGTATTTTTTCACATTTCACTACACTCTTTTTTATAAAAATGACATTAAAAAATATATCCACATATTTGGATGATAAATTATTTTTTGTTTTCTGGCATTAATCACTTCTGTGCATTTTACAGATTTGTTTTATGAACAAAACATTAACTTTTTAAAAATGCTTTCACTATTGGGCAATACAAAATATTTGCAATTTCACAAGATTTTCTTAATTTCACATTAACTCTCCCCTGAATAGTAATGTACCACCCCACCCCCCCACTTTCAGCCAAAATAGTTTTAAAAAAATCTACAATATTTAGTATAAAATTTGATTTCAAACTCATTTAAAGAGGTTGAATGTCTTGTATGAGAATTATTAATCAAGGTTCAAGGATGCTACAATTTTGTCTAACTTCCTCTGATTTAAAGATTAGTGAAAAGTTGTTGCTCAATAAAGAATATTCTATGTGGAGGGTATTGGGAATATAACAAAAAAATTAGCCAGGAATGACTTTTGTCTAGATAAAATATCAGACACTCGGACTCAGAATAAAATGTTTCTTGTGAATATAGCTAAATATACCCTACTTAATTTGAGAGATGTGTTTATTTGAATATCTAATCCTTGAAAGTTATATGGTAAATGACAGAATATTCTTCCTATATTGTTTTCAGGGCATTGATGAAGAATGGACTGTGTTTCAGGAATCTTATAGAGTAACATTTCTGGGAAAGCTAACAAATTATTTTTGCTTGTTTTTCTTGATTTTTTTTTTTTTTTAACACTTGCTTGTTTCTTTTTATCTAGAAACGTTGAGGAAACGATCCGAAAAATCTTCAAAAATAAAGACTGAAGAAAAACAGGTTGAAGCCAATGAGTAAGTTGCATTTGCAAAAATTTCTTAAGATGTAAATATTTCTCTTTTTTGAAAAATTAAAACCTCTTCCCACCTGTTCAACTTGTAAAATGGCAGGAGATAATATATGTCATTCCTCAGATGTTAAAAATTTCTTGTGCTTAGACATTAAAAACCCAAGAAAAAAAAGTTATTGATATTTTTGTTTGCATCATATGTGTCCACAGTTCAGCATATCTCATTCATTCCTTGAGGCTTAAGAATTTTATTGCATCTTCTATTCTAAAATTCCTAATGGATTTACAATTTTCAACAAAGGGACTTGAAGAAATGCCTTCATAAAAGAAAAAAAAGGCACCTATATTCAGAGAATTTAAAATTTGGTTATTTATTTAATGCATCATGTTACTTAAAATTGCTACCATAGTCAGTGTGTTTAAACAAATTAGCAGTAAATAATCAATAGTGTCTTTTATAGCCATCTTTTATTTATATTATTGCCAATTAAAACTGTTTTTACATTTACATAAGTAGCAAAGTAATCATTCTAAGTTAATTGAAATAAGTGCTGTGTAATTTTTTGTGAAAAAAAAATCCCTTAAAATATATAATCTATTTTCACACTTTTTTTTTTAATATACATTATAACAGGTATTTTAAGTTGAATACATGTGTCAGAATTTTGACCAAAGAAGGATCAAGATAGAATTTCAATTTTACACTAAAAATCTTTTTCAATTCTGATTTACCCTTTACTTTCCTTAATTTTATGTATTCTCAACTGCCATTTCATGTAACGACTTAATACAATTGAGACAAACTCTTTTGGTCTCACTGTCAATTCATGTATACACACCATTTCCTCCCCCTGCTTCCTACATGATAATAAAGTTACATCTTTCTTTCTTCTACTCTCTCAATATGAAATCATTATTATTAATTTTTAAACCTGGAGTGTTTTTTTTTCCATTTACATTTGGTTTACAGGTCTGAAGATTTGAAGCCATTTTTTATCGACTTCAATGAAATAAATATCACCTATGGTATTTTAAGTGTTTGTTTTTCATTAATGATATGTATGTACACATTTTTTTTTTCTTATTTGCATTTTTCTGTAGAGATGCAACTGGAATGGTTTTACACAAGGATTCACGTTGGTACCAGAGTTGGCAGAATTTCAAAGACAATAACCAATATGTACATAGTAGGTATAAAATTCTACATTGCAAAAACATTCTTACCACCTCTATTTATCCTGCTTAATGAATATAAAATACTCATTTATATTAAAGGCAAAGAAAAGTCCTTTTTGTTTCTTTTTTCTCCCTTTAGCCTCATTTCTTTATATTTGTTAATTTTGTGTTTTTTTATTTCTTATTTTCTTCTGTGAAAGATAGGTAAAAAGATAAAAATTGTAGTAAGTTCTAAATATTTATTCTAACATGGAAGGTAGGGGAGAAATGAACTCACCAACCCAGGGCCCAAAGAAGGATGGAGAGGGAGAATAGAATGGTCTTTTAAGATGGTTGGCAGAGCGAAATATTATCAGATTGTTGAAATGATTAACTCCACAACTGAACCAACCAATCTTGTTAATCAGTATGTAGATTGAAATGGTGTGTATGGGTTTGCAATATCTGTATTATTTAATCTGCTTATCAGAATCTAGCATGCATTTTCAGAAATTTTAAAATTTATTTTCATTCCTGTATTACTTCAAGGGCGTTTTTAGTTATTTTATTTTTATTTCACTTGTAAATCTAAATATCATTCCAGTTGCCAATGTATGTTGGCCATAGTTTTTTTGTTTTAATTCTTGAATCTAATACCATCCCCAATTCCCTATCATGTCTTAGTTGAAATGGTGGGCATTATAAATTAAAGAATGTATAATTGTTTTTTTCAGTCAGTAGTTTGTCATTGGTAAGTTAGTTTTGATCTACCATAAGAAACTCCTGTCTAGTGCTTATTTTCTCGTGTCCCCAGTCCAAATTGGTTAGATTTCCTTGGACATAAAAAAGTAAAATAATACCTAGGGTTTTCCAGTTTTCTCACTTTATTAGGATGCCACATAACTTAAAAGTTAAAAATTTATATATTTGTCATTTTTGTTTTTTTTCTTCTCTCGCAAATAGATAATTGCCAATGCTAACTCTTGTTCATGTCATTTTTTTTTCTATGATAATATTAAATCCAATGGGGCTATGGAATGCTGATGTACCCCCTAGTAATCTATGTTACCACCCCGCCTTCTCCCAGTGGGTCTTTTAGTCCTATATAAATTAGCTTGTCTGAGGTCTTAGACAACTACAGTATTTCTGAGTCAAGAAGAAGTTCTGTTGCATTGATTTCTGGGTAGACAAGACATACACTTAGGGTATCACTCCTGTGTCATCTTTTCCTGGATTCATTCAGGAACATGGGTGGGTTCTTCAAGGATCTGTATCAGTTTATAGGTGATGGAGAAGACATGACAGTATCTGTTTTCTTTGTCAGTTTTGTTTACATGGATTAACTACTCTTTGTGATGAATATTGAAGTCACCACAAATATGAAAGCAAGCTGAGGGATACTCAGTGAGGATATTATCAATCGTCTTAGCTATTCAGTCAAACATTACTATTCCATCATCCTGTGGATAATACAAAATGAAAATGGTACTGTGGGCAAGTGCCATGTGGAAGCACATATACAGATCAGGGTCCTCATTTTTGTGTTTACTGCTATATGGGAACCTATCCTTAATATAGGTGCCAAGTCCATGGCTGTGACCATTTAGACTGTCATGTTTAACTATTATGGGCAAGTAGCCCAGTATTGAAAGTTCCTGCACTGGGATAGATGGATCAATACCATTTTAAGACAGGAATAAGAAGTTAGGTTTGATACCAAGATAGTTTCACCTCTTGGAACAAAGACCAATCACATTGGTGTTGGGGATGGTGGACCTGGGGTCAACTTTTTTTTTTTTTTTTTTTTTTTTGTCACTTTTGTTGTGGTCATGTTTAAAAATCAGTTGTTTGGGTGAAGACTAAGTAGTAGTGAGACGGTTGCATCCACAGGAGATGCATATATAGCTGTAAGATTACCTTCATCATGGCATTGGTACACTCCACTGGAGACTGCTACATTGTGTAGAGCCGCTTCACAAAATGGCAATACGATAGCCCTGATATTATACACTTGAGAGATAGCCTTCTTTGAAGTTACACAAAGGTTTGGATCCTTGATTATCAGGCAGATAATGCCAAAACCCAGAAAACATTTAACAAAAATATGGAGAACTACTGCCATATATGGGCAGGAACTACCCAATCTTCACTTTCTAGTCTTGATAGAATCCAAAAGTGTCTCCACGTTTTTGTGGGTGATGAATTATTTTTTACCCTACAATCCCTTTCTCACAGACCTCTTACTTATCTATCACTATTTCCATGAAAAGTGTTCTGATGAACTGCATTCCTTAGTTCCGCCAGTTGCCACCTTCACTGCTGTCATGCTATGCACATTGTAGCAAACCACCTTCATTCCCCTTGTATTCCATTGGTGAAATGTAAGTTCTACTTGAGCAGCAGCTTCTCATGAAGTGCTGCTTTGTGCAACCAACTCCCAAGAGGATGCTTCCCCAACCGCTTCAGCCTTAACCTGTTCAAGTCTAGGATTAACCATTATCTTCTCCACATCCCCATAAACTGTAACTCTTTACATCAAGTGGCTCTTGTTCCATGTACAGAGTGAACATCATTGTAAAAAATAAAAAAACATAAAAATTTGCATAATTTCCAAAGAAATTTAGCCAAAGATTTACAACTGAAGAGGATTCTTCTTTTATGTTTTTTGATATTTAATTTTTTTTATGGGGGAGTCTTATATTCAAAAGGATAAAAATTTAGTTACTTGTTTTAAATATTTGTTAATATGTGTATCATATTGAAATATTTAAAAAAAAACAAAAAAAACTGCAAGGTCTTTATGAAAAGATTGAAATATATATGATGTCCTCAGAGTTATTATTATTATTTTTTTTTTTTTTTTTTTAAGAATTGTTTGACTTGAAAATGAAATATGACGAGAGTGATAATATCTTAATCCGAGCCACCAGGTCCTTCACAGATAAAGTTGGTGTTGTATTTGGTAAGTAAAATATTTTTCATACAATTTTTTTAAAAAGTTCTATTAATCAATTTTCTTTCTTGTTCTAACTCTCCCTCTACCAAGAAAACTGACTTCCATTAAATACCACCTGGGTCCAATAGACCTGTTTCCATTTTATTTACTTATTTTATTTATTTATTTTTTTTTTTGTTAAATTATCCAAACTTTACAATTTTTTTTAAAATTACAATTCATCACTGCATTTAGCACAGAATACTTTCAAATGGCTTTGGTAAATATGACAGTTCACGTTTTTCTATCCATGGTATAGAATCACACAAAGTGCATCTTTTTTTTTTTTTTTTTCTTCTTCTCATTGGATGGTTCCTGGGCAGTGTATTGCTCAGTAGAGTTTGTAGTTGTATCAGTACCTATGAGTTCTATATGAGGAAATTCCTTTTTTACTTATTCATTCTAACCTAAGATCTTTGGCTATGATGAAAGCATTAACATCTATCATGTTGTAGAAATAAGACAAAGGCCATCTCTGATTCATTCTTTTGCAAGAATATGTCCTTACCATCCTATTAAGTGTATCTACACTTCCTTTTGTCTTATTGTAATATAAAATTATTTCAGGGTTTTTTTTTTTTTAAGAATCTGCTGATTCAATTTTAGGAGAAGAATGCATTATGCTCAAAAGTGTTGCACAATAGTTTTTCTTTCGGCAATAAGGAAAGAATTATAGGATCCTTTTGAAATAAAGTGCTATTTATTTCTCTTCCTTTTCCATTTGCAAAGGAGCTAGGAAGTTCATTATTTTTTTCAGATTGTTCCAACTAGAGTAAGTAATTTTTTTCCTGGCTAATTCTAAATGAGTAAAAAAAAAATTGTTACATTCCTACCAGAATTTTCAAGTTCATTAGCCATATCTCAAACTACTTGAAGCCTTGCTTCTCTTTTTGTCCATTTTCTGGGTTTTTTCATATATAGACTTGCATTTTCCAGGCATAAGATGTTCCACTACCACATATGGTCCAAATTATTGAGTCCATGTTTTCCTGACTTAGATGGAATATATACTCAAAAAGGACAGCATCCTCTAAACATGACTAATTGTTCATCAACTGTCACATAAGAACTAAGAATATATCCATCTTATAAATTCAAATTTCACATTTCAAAAATTTCTCGCATTGGTTGAAGCTTATCTCTTTTATTCATATTTCTTCTTCTTGTACATGCATCGTCAAAACATAGCACTCTTAAAAATTTGTTGAAATCATTGCCTGGTCATAATTTTGTTGAAAAGGAGACATCCATCTTCAAGGCTCCAAGGTTGAGTAACGTTTTCATGCTTGAATTTAACTCTGATATTTATAATCAATCCAATAAACTTTCTAAATTCAACAGAATTTATTTCTATCCACTTATCTTTAAAGACCTGAATTCCTTCAGCATTTGTCCATTTTTGGATTATTCCCAGGTGATTTAGCTTCATGAACAATATGAAAGAACTGAATCACAAGATCTTCTTGCAAAATGTGAATCTCTGAGATTTTGATGTAAAACATTGGAGGATGGAGTTCTTCCTTATGCCCTTTCAATTAGTTTGGAAGACCAAATTTAAGACTTAATCTTCAAACAATACTTTTTATTCATCATTGAAGGGTTTGAAGAATCATTTCTGTCAGTTTTGTTGTCATCATTCATATCATCATCCGATTCTGAATAAGTAATGCTGACATTATCACTTTCAGAAAAAGAAAGTTTGAAAGTTTCTTCTTTCTTTAATTTCTTCTTACCACTCTTCATCTAACTCTGATAATAATTGTGAAATATCTTCAAAGCTTAGCTTTCGGCACTTTAACATTTTGTAGAAGGATTACAATTCTAAGGCCAAAGGACAAATAGTTGGTAAGCTATCACTGTTTTTTTATACTTGTTGAATAATGATGCAATGTTTCATCATTCCTTCAAAGATGATGTAATACTAATTGTTTGTTTCATAAAGATGGCCCAATAAAATGGGTGGTATATCTTCATCTTCAAATGTCTTGATAAATACTATTAGAAATCTTTTCCAAGCATTATATAACTAAGAAAAAAAACAATTTGAAAATCCTTCTAATAAAAAAGGCCTTGCATAATGGCACTTATTTAGAATGGACAATATTTTTTTTATTTAATTAAAACTTTCAACAATGGGTCCAGTGAACTCACTTGGAAATAGAAGTCACCTACCAAAATTTTATTTTTTGTTCTAAATTTATTTCCTTTATGTAGATGATAGAAAATGAATAAAAAATAAGTCACAAAAATAATTCGGATAGAATAACTATAAGGGTAAAAAAATTAGTTTTGAAAAACAATTATGGCTCCATTTGACCTATTGGTAGACAAGTGTTTTAATAAAGACAAACTTGGCGGGGACATAACTAGTAATGTGTGCGAAAAAAATTGCATTCGTTTTGTAAAGAATATACATTCATCTTTGGAAAATTACTATTTTTTAGTAAAAGTAAATTTTTTTTTTTTCTTCCAACTTAAACTACATTTTAAAAATTGATAATATTTAATCTTTTCTAGACTCCACTCTATTACTATTATTTCATATTATAGCATTACTTGCAAACACATTTCACTGTTAGTTCACCATAGAAAAAGTTAGCCCATTAATGCCCACCATTTCGTTTTGGGGACTGGTATTAATGGGCTATAGGTAGAAACCTATAATTAAAAACAAGTTTTTTAAAAATTTTTATTCATTTATTTTTTTTTAAGGAACTTATAATTAATCCTGGATTTTTTTTTTTTTTTTTTTTTATAGAAAATATTAATTAATAATGGATTTTATGGTGGGTATTAATGGATTAAAGTGGTTCTCAAATCTTTCATTTAAATGTATTTTTTCTTTCACAGGTAGTATGTTTTCCAAAACTGAGATGTCTGAAGTTTTAACAGAAATTTGTCGAATTGATCCCAGTTTTGACAAAGAAAAGTTCTTGAAAAGTTGTGAACGAGAAATTATTCCAAATATTCTGGAGGTATCAATATTTCTGATTTCTTCCATTTCTCAAATTCACAGTCAACTATTTTGGCAAAAGTGAATAAGCAAGTAATTCTTCTCTCCTTTCTGACTCTCTCTCTCTTTTAATTCAATACTGATACATTAAGTTTTAAATGAACAATGGCTGGAGATATTTACTGAGCTTAGTCTAGCACTGGTCCATGCTAGCAAGTGCATGGAGTAAAAAAAGAAAAAAGCTGAATAGTCTGTCAACCAAATTGATGGCTAATTCTTTTGCCCCGCCTTTTTTTTTTCCCCAATTTACACACAAAAAATGTTTTATTGTTTTTGCAGTGTTTTCTCTCTTCTATCTATGAATTTGTTTGATAAGAAGAGAACAGTTAAAATTTGCATCCAGATGTATTTGACACTTAAAATTTTGTACAAACTTAATTTTACTGAATGAAGATTTTTTTTCCATATCTTGCCACAATTTATTTTAGCAACCAAACTATAATCTTTTGGAAATCTTGATGTCAGTGGAATATATCCTAACAGACAAATACTTATAATATTTACCAAAATAAATTATTAGCATGTCTTCTTTTATGCCTAAAAAGTTTTCTTAAATTCCATCAAAAAGGGTGTTAAGTTTTGCAATAAAACAGATCATTTCAATTATCTTTCTCATCTCCCTTTATATGTTTGTCTTGCCTTGGAAAATGAAAAGTGAATTGTTTTCTTTTAAATTTTTTTTTCCCAAGCCTTACTAACTTTTCAGTAAATTCTTTTAAGTTTGAAGGATTATTTTTAATAAAAAAATCTATGTTCTTTGGTTATTTTGATTTGTTTCAAATCTTTATATAATCTTTGAGCTTGGCTTATTAGTTAGTAGGTATCATCATTTAGAACACTAGTTTTTCTATCTCCTATAAATGTTAAATTTTGTTATCCATTAGACACTGTGTATACCCTTGTATGAAAGATAAAGCTATAATTTTATATATTCAATGTAACAATGTAAGTACCATAATATTTCAATGAATTGCAAAATAAATGAACGTAAAAAATAAAATTGCACATTTATTCTTAAATAGTAACACAGCAATAACTGTCTGACACAAAGTGATAATCAAGCCCATTCAATGACTTCTAAATGTTTATGAAATATTTCATAATTATTTTCTTTTCCTTAGCTAAAGCATATATAACTTAGAAGAAAAGTATAAAAAGTTTCATATACACTTGATACATGTTCATTTTGATATTCTTAAACTTCATAGCTTAATAGCACAGGCATGTAAAATATTTGGCATCTGTAGATATGCATGCATATATCTAAGTATAAACTTGCCAGTCTTTTGTTTCTATTTTGTAATGTTTATCACAAGCATGTATAGATATTTATAAATCTTGAACTAGCACAAGACCACAATAGAGCATCCAGTAAGAATCAAAAATGTTATGTTAGATTAGCTTGCTAATCATTACTCTATCGCTGAATATACATTAAGTTAACTTTAATACACATTAATGAAATCATCTTGAAGGACAAAGTTTCAAGTTAACTGCACTAAATTTGAAAATTTATTTGTAAATTAAATTAGAAAATTTTGTTGAATCTAATTTGATCAGTCAGTGATAAATCATTCATTGTACTCCCATGCTAATGGTATACTCCTTCATACAATCAATTAGTACATACTAAATTAGGACATAAATTCTTAAAATTAAAAGCATTTTCCTAAAAAGAGCTCTCTGAGGAAAATTTTCAATCACAACACTCTAAAACTTAGCTATAGTTGCACAAATAATTTAGAGAAAATAATTAAATCATATAACACTAAATTGTTGAAATTATATAACAAAAATAACGGGAATACTAATGCTGACCTTAATGTGTCTCCTATAAATAACCTATGTAATTGTAAAAATCTCAACAAGTACCTGTTATCCAACAGGTGTTTAACAAAATCCCTAGTATATGATGTTCTATTAAGTCAGTCGAAAATCCCAAGATTTCTGAACATTTCTATGTCGGGAGTACAATGAATGATTTTAAAAAGCATTTTTATAACCATATCTCATCCTTCAATAATGCAGCTAAACAAAACATGACTTCACTTTCTAAGTATTTTTGGAAATTAAAAGACAAAAATAAAACACCCAAACTTAAATGGAAAATTCTAAAACTAGCTAGAACCTCAAGGTCTCTAAATGTGCCATGTTTTCTCTGTCTACAGGAGAACATAGAAATAATTAAATACTCAAACAATGACAGTCTGTTGAATCAGAGATATGCAACAGCAATAAATTGTAAACCTACAAAGGAATTAACCTTACAATCTTGCTAAAGAAATTTCTCACTTTGAACAAATCTGCATTGTTGCCATCGTTAATCTAGCTTAGTTTTGCTCATATATTTCATTTTAATTTTACTTTAAATTTAATTCTAAACTTAAATTTATTCTAATCTGTTTTTACTTTTGTTTATAAGTTAATCATAATATATTTATTTTTAATTTTATTTTTTTACTTTTATTGTTTATCCATTATTTTATTTTAGTCATTGTTACCTGACCTCTTTAATAATACATTATGATTAATATAATAATATAAAAATTTAAAATGATTAGACATTTGTTTACATTCATAAAAACAATATGCTAGAATTAGTAGTTTCTTTCAGCTGAGTATTGATGGCTTAGGGGTAGAAACTCTGACTGACGCCAAATCAGGGTTTTGATCCAAGCTTATCTATATCCCCATCCTTCATTTTTACCTTTCTGTGGGCGATAACATCAATTCCCATTTCCAACTTAATTTACTGTCATTTGGAGATTAATATTAATTTTAATTTTATTTTACCTCTATTTCTATCTTGATTTTACTTTCTATTTACTTTTAAAATTTATTTTGAATATTTACTTGTTATCTTATTTGGATTATTCCTCTCTTTAATAATGCTTTATAATTAACAAAATAATACAAAAGTTTAAAATGTACTTAGTACTCTAATTTATACTTTAAAGTTAATTTTGTTAAGTATAATTAATATAACAATATAATGGTTTAAAACTTGTTTAGTATTCTAATTCATATTGTAATGTCTGTTTTGTTAAATATTGTATTACGCCTTTACATTCCATGAATAGTTTTCTTTGAACAGAGGAATTTTTGCCATAAAAACATTAATCTAACTTGCTACATTACAGTTTAAATTTGAATTTTCTTATTGAATTCATTGCTGCTTTATTTCTCTCACCTTCCTCCTCTTTTTTGTCTTAAACTGAAATGCATTGATTTATCCTCAACTTTCTTCTTACAAATAGAAGAATGTTGAAGTCATCTCTATTTCTTTTTCTTGTTCTTTTTCTTCCTCTTCTCCTTTCCTCTTTCATTAAACCTTTAACTTGCTTTCTTTCTCCATATATCCTTTTTACCTTTTATGGAAATTTTCCAAAGATGGAAGTTGGAGGTGTGCTTCGTTAACTGTATTTCTGAATAAAATATTTTAGTACCATCATGGTTTCCCACCTGAAGAAACATTAATTTAATATTGAAACAAGATGTACAGTTTTTGTAGTGGGTATGCACATGTTCTAATGTAACAGTGCATAATAAATAAATACTTATTGCTCTACTTTTGTATTGAACCCTGTTTTAAATGTTTTGAATGTTGAAATTTTACTCTTCATTCCTTTACATTTGGAGATATATATATATATATATACACACACACACACACACACACACACAATTTATTATAAGAATGTAAAACAAAAATTGGTGGAGTTTATCAATAAGGTAGTGTGAAAGATTGAACATGTCAGAATTGGTTTGTGAAGAATGATATTCCAGTCAGTTTAATGAAGTAAACTGTTTTTCCTAATCCTCCCCACCTCATACATTTTTTGAAGGATGCAATTTCCGCTGAGACAATATAGAAAGTAGAACTCTTAAACTTCTAGGGGAGAGATTTAATTTTTATCTAATTTTTGTTGATAAAATTGATATAATTAGTAAAATAATAAAAAGCAATTATTAATTTTTATTTTGAGACTTTGACCATTTTGCTTTTAGGCAATGATTCGTGGTGATTTAGAAATTCTGAAAGATTGGTGTTATGAAGCAGTAAGTTTTTCTTTTTTCTTTCTTTGATCTTTGAGAGACATTAGAATAAAAAGTAGGGTTTTTTCTATCTTTATTAAAATAATATAAGGATTATTTTTATTTAAAAATGTCAGTAATAGAAAAGTATTGTAAAAAAAAATCCCAAATAAAGATTTTGTTCCTTGTTGTTTTTAAGAATGAAGAATTGGAAAAAAAAATATGAAGCTAAAAAGAATGGTAATAATTATGATAAATTATAAATTTTATTTTACCTATACATGAATTCTTTTATACAAGAGTCATGTGGCTAAAACTAGTTTTAAAGGAGATACTCAGTTTTTAATTCCTCTTTTTAACTCAAAATCTTCAGTCGTAATTTCTTGTCGTCAAACAAAGTAATAAATTCATTACTAGAACATGAAGGGCCAAGTATTTTATTTACTTTTTCCAGCTCCCAAATTTAACATTCATTTTGTAATCACTTTTTCACTTATAGTCTTCTGACATCTATTTTCGCTATCAAAGAGCACTAATATTAGTTCAGTGATTCAAATGATAGTCTTGTCTATCAGAGAACATTGATTTGATCATATATTGTTCCTAAATTGAGTTGAAATTTTCATTCATGTTATCAGGAAATAACAAGATGGACTTCAAACTTTACAAAAACAATTATTTATTTTCAACACTGATACAAACTGTCATGAGAGTGAGTTGGAAAACTAGGGTCCAGTTAATTATGGGTGAAGCATGTCAAATTATTTATTATTTAAGTTAAGATACTGTAATTCAGTCCATCAATACAGTTATGGAAACACAAGGATAACATTTAACTTGTGGTCACATGCAGGAAGATATGTAATTTTTTAGAAGAATTTGGTAGTATCTGTCTTATGAAACTAGAACTCATTTATATAAAGAATTGTAGAAAATAAAATACTTTGAGGATTTATGCTGAAAGTATAAAAGCTAAAAGACAAAAGTTCATGATATTTACTTGACATTAAAATGTCTTAATTTACAAAATCTTTGGCAGTTATATCTCTTACTTTTATGACACTTTCCACTTATTTTATCAAATGGCCCTCTATATATATTGTGCCATCATACTTGTCAGTCATTGAGAGTTAATCTGGGCCTTGCCACTTGCTCAAAAAAATTAGTTTTGTGCCTATATTAACCATTTCCAGTAAATGTCTGTTATTTGGAGTCTCTTTCAAGACCACTTTTAGTATTCTTTCATTTGACATTTACAAGACATGTCAGACCCTAACACATTTCTTACTCTCAAGGGACATATTTCTACTGTCTTCCTATATAGTTTCTCATTAAAAATCTTTTAGTTACAACTATTGTGGAAGACCTTTTATATGTCTTCCTTCATAATTCTCCAGCACTCAGAACCATACAAAAGGATCTTAGTTTTGAAATTGTATTGATTCATCAGATATTATGGAGTTGACTAAAAATACCTTTGGTTTTAAGATGGGCTTTGATGTGTTTTTAGACACATTTTGTTAATAGGCTTCCAATGTATATGAAATATTCAATGTGCTCTGATTCCTCTCTGTCAGTGCTGATTGCATAAAGATAAAGCCGTGTTGGAGCACTGACACACATCACTTGAATCATTTTCTTGTTGATTCATAATTGGTTAAAAGTGATGAGATAATAAAATTATTCCAGACCACTAATTCACTCCTTAAAGTGTTACTTCCCCCTCTTAATTTCATCACAAACAATTTTCAGTTGCAAATATTGATCCTTATTTGCCAAAATTGTAGTTTTACTGATAAACTTGGAACTGTTTTTATGAACAGCTATTGAAATCTTTGGACACATGTTCATACACTATATATCCTGCTTGAATGTGTCAAGTAATTTTCCTTGCTGTTTTTGTCTGTTTCAGCCTTATAATACATTAGCGCATCCCATCAGACAAGCCCATGCAGCTGGTTATAAGTTTGATTCCAAGGTTTTAGATATCAACAATGTTGATGTGAGTAATCTTTTTTCGTTTTTTCCCTTCTCTTTCTAATATAAATGCAGAAGCATTTAGGAATTGCAATTTTTTGTGGCTTCACTTTTGATCTAGCTGAAAATGGCACACAGGAGATTTCTGATATTGGTCTTGCTTTTTGTCTTTATAAGACAGATTATATATATATATATATATATATATATATATATATATATATATATATATATATATATTCAATGAAAGCTTTCTAGATTTCTCTCCATTTATTAGAGACTATTTTTTTACAATATGGTAGGCAATAAGTTCATATAAATTTGCAAAATTTGTGTTTTTTAAAAGTTCACAAAGTCCAAATCTCCATGTACATACACACAACCTCCTTGCAAGATCTCTCCTCGGTGGGAAAAGTCAGTTGCTTTTATATCAGTTTGTTGGACCTTTTATGGCTTTTCTATTTGTGGAGCATGGAAATGAATTAGCATATTTTTCTATACAATCCATTTACACTCAGTGATACTTTAACCACAATTGGTTAACAGAAGCTGACCTCATTCAGTGGAGAGGCATTTTTCTTTATTCTGTAAAAACTGTATTCTGTAAGAAAGTGTTTGGACCTTCAGCATAGGTTGATATTTTCTTTTGTACATATTGTATATAGTGAATTTCTGCACTTTTATATGTATGTATGAGGAAGCACATCTTGTCTAGTTCTTATTTAGTATTATTCAGTTATTTCTTGCTTTGTTTCCACTGAGTCCAAGTCCACACTGCCAGACACAGTGATTGAACTCACAATTACTATGCCACTAAATTCACGAGCCAATACTTTACTCTAGAAATAGGCAGTGGAGCAAGAAAAATCTACCCCTGTAGATTAAATAAAGGCTTCAGTTCAAAATTCCCTGGATCAACAAATTCCTGATGTTGGCCAGAGGACACAACTGAAACATTGTGATAACAACAACAAAAATGATAGCAATAGTCTGCTTGTAAATAATTTAAATCATAACTGAATGCTCACAGAAATTCTCCAGATCTGATCTACCATTTAGATATTTTTTCGTGAATCTCTTTTTGATAAGACTGACAACTTTTCCTTGTGTGTGTGAAGATGATGAGACAAAGTGGAAAATTTATTAACAATGTGTTTCACCTGAGACCATATGCTCTCTTTAGATTTCTCAGATTGAAAAAAAACTTTACTTAATGATATCATTTTTACTGGGAATCTATGGAATCTGCAGCTAATTGGATGGTCACTTGGCAATGGCACTGAGTAAAGAATTCTAAAAATAAACCCCAAAAAACAGGTGTGTTAAAAGATTCTTTATTCTTAATGTCATTCAGCAATTAACTTGGATGCCTGCTATAAGCACAGTGCTTACCAAGGTTATCTCACAAATTTGCAAAAGATTTTTGCTTTGATTTCTATTTAAATATTCAACAATGTTTAATAGAATTAAATTATTCTTTTAAGAAGATACTGCTATTTTTTTTTTTTTTTTTTTGTAGATGTATTCACTCTTAATGCTGTTTTGGCCTTTTGTTTAACAAAGTAACTGCCACACATTAAATGTTTTCTATAACCAAATTTTACATTCATTGATTTCTTCATTTAAGAAAATTTGGGATTTACTTTGTATTATAGAATTCTAATATTTTTAAAAATTATTTGTCCATTTAGTTTAGTTTTTTAATTCATTTTAATGTGTTACTTTTTCAATGTTTTAAATTCTTGGAACTTTTTCATATAATTTAGAATAATATTTTCAAAGTTTATTCTATATTTGTTTACTTTTGTTTTCATTTTACCACCAGTTATTTTATTACTTTAAAGAATTCATTGTTGTCAGTGCTTGGTTAATTTTAACAAAATTTAAAATTTTGATTACCATTTTTTGATAATGCTTAGGTGGCTGCTGGAAAAATAATGGAACAGGGTCCAGTATTAATTATTAGCTTCAATAGCCAACAGATAATGGCAGTACGAAACAGTAAAGGTCATGTGGTGGAAGGCAATCCTGTAAGTAACTTTCTTATTTCAAAAGTAAGTAGTATTGAAAATTAAATTTTAATTTGTCTTCTGTTTGAAAGAAGAGTGAGGCAGGCAAAGTTCTACTTTCTGAGCTCAGGAAATACTCAAAATTCAAATAAATTCAAGTTTCTTATCAAAATCTATAAAACAAATGATTTAATGAAACTCTTCTTGCCTTTATTTCAAAATACATTTTACAGGCTTCTCTCTTTGTTTGCTGTTATCACATATATTCTTGTCAAAAATTCTTTGTCCTTTTCAAGATATTTCATTGAATGAACAAACAGTTCAACAGAAGAAAGGAATTGCAAGATATCAACTCTTTTTAAACAGTTTTCAGCATTTTAATGAACTTTGCAGAACAAAATCCTGGCTTTCCGCTAGTAAAGGACTTTGCTTTAATTTCCTTTGCTTTGGTACACACAACAGTTTGTATTGAAGTATTACCAATCTTTGCTGATATATGGAACCAGCATGGCTTATTTCATTCACTGTGGTGAATGTAGGAAAGAACATCAGTGTCAACATACAAGGATAAAAATCTGATATTCATAACTAGGTAACCCCCCACCCCAAGCAATACCTAAGATTTAAAATGCATTTTAAAGAATGAAAAATCTTTCTTGAAGTTTTTATTTTAGTTTAACTCCAAGCTAATAGATTAAATTTAATATTTCCAATATGCAAAATACTTTGCTGTATTTCAAACTGAATTTAAATTGATTTGAATTATTTTTTCTGTTTATCAGTAAAATCTATGAAATTGTCCCTATTGACAAATCCAACACAGCATAATTCTCTTTATTAAAAAAAATCATTAAAAAATGAAATATACTTTTCTGAAACATTGAAGAAATTAGCTGATTTAAAGTTTAATCAATCTGAATTGAAACAAATATTACTTTTAGTTTAAATTATTGCAGAAATGTATTTTGTAACATGGAGGTGAATGTTTTTATGAGATGTTGACACATTTATTTAAGCCTGATGTTTGGTAAATTTAAATAAGGGGGATAACTGTAGTATAATTACTTGACAAATGTTAGAATGAGCGAAGTTACTACTGTGATAGGAAGATGCTATAAATGAGATTACCAGGAGGGAAGGGGAGAAAAAACATTGAGCTGGAAACACATGAAGAGAGGAAGGTTTGGCAGAATAATTAACAGTTGTTAGCAGAGTGTAGTTGCTTTAAACTAAAGCCTTACATACAAAGTAAAAAAATTTTTTAAAAAAGCAATGGATTTGTGGATTATTCAATGCAATTTAAACTCATTCTCTGAATTGAATGTTTTCATTTTCCTGACAAGTCAAACAGGCTACTAAAGATTTTTTTTTTTTTTTTTTTTTAATGAAATGTATTATTGTTTTTGTGCTTAATCGAATGTAGCCATTACAAAGTTATTCTACACCAATTTGTAAAGAGTAAGAAATTTGATTTACATGTATCAGTTATCACTTTCATTGTTTTTAACTTAATTTTTTTTTTTTTGTTTTCAAATAATAATCATGGTTTCGGCTAACCTGCATAAGTACCCTCCAATTTTCAAGAAAGGAGATAATTATGAAAAGTGAAAGAACGAATTAAAAGTCTGTCAAAGTTTCACTAATTTAGAGAAAACAAGAACTGGCAATAACTTACTCTTACAATGAAAACGTGGCAGATGCTGTCTTACAATTGGGAATAGACATAATTCATAATAAGGTAAGAGTGAATAATATCATAGCACAGCTGTTTGAGGTTTCCTACAGACCCACTGAACTTAAATAAAGTCGATTCAGGTTTCCTATGGTAAAAATTTTCTTTCCCAAGTGAAAATCATCACAAAAATAGCAAAAGTCATTTTGTCACAGCTTATTTTCTCTCAAAATATGGGTTTTCATACTTTTTTAGGGGTAAAATATTGAAAAATGACCGTTTTATCATCACCTAAACTAATATCAAGGAAACTTTTCATCTGAACCCCATGAAACTAGGTATTTTCTGAAAGCAAAAGATATATTCTTTCATTTAAAAGTAAAATTAGCTGGTGTAAATGACTCAAAATTTTTTTCAGTGGGTAAAATGTGAAAAAATAGTGAAAATTTTGCATTTTTTTCTTGTTCTAAACAAATATTTCCCCCATTAATGGGAAATTAACCTTTTTTTTTTTTTTTTTTTTTTTTTTTTTTTTTTTTTGAAAATCAGAAAGCCTAAATCATAATCAAACTATTTCAGGCATAAAATTGAGAGTTTTGAAGGAAATCAACATTCCTAGGGGTTCAAAATGCAACAAAATCCATTGTTAATTTTCAATTATATGACTGCCAAGGGTTAAAAAAATTGACACCTGGCCACGGAAATCTTTAGTAAAAGGCAAGAGATTTATCTGCAATTCCTAACCACCAGAAACCAAAAGTTTTTTTTTTCCCTAAAAATAGCGATAAGGGAAAATAAACCTAATTGACTTTGACGTCTAGGTCAAAGGCCAGCCAGCCAGCCAGCCAGCCAGCCAGCAATAAACGGACGGCAAACCTTAGAACAAGTTGTAATAAAACCCACCACTCCCAGATAAAAGCAAAGAGTGAAAAAAAAAAAAAAGAAAAACAAAAAGGGATTCACAATTACTAGGGCTTCATATAACCTATGTTTGAACAATGGCTTGATGAGTTTTGTTTTGTTTAAAAACAAAACAAAACTCATCAAGCCATTGACCCGGGTGATGACAACAACACTTAGCAGCCGACATTGTTTTTTTTCGGCGCATATCTTTCGTATTTCCCATCGCCGGTCCATTTAGCCTTTCTTTTTATTCAATGATGTTCATGCCAAATGAAAGAGAAAGGAATGAATTTTGAATGATGTTATTTTGAAGCGAAAATAAATATTTTTTCATAAAAAAAAGGGGATTTTTCTCAGAAAATTGGGCATAATTTCTTAATGCTAACCGCCGAGTGACATTTTCCACAGCCAAATCGAAGATTAATTACCAGTGAATAATTCCATATGCAAAAAATAGCCGTCTGGATCCTATAAGGTCGCCCTAAAAGGTCCAGAAGTTTACTAATTGATCGAAAACCTGTTGCGCATAATTGTATTTTTCACAGTCAGTTTCCATTATTTCATCTTGATATTACCATTTTCGGACAGCCAAGTCATCAAGAATTCAGGAAAACACTTTGGCATAGGTTTTCTTTAAGAACTTTACATTCTATGAGGTGTTTAAAATGTTACTAACGAATGAGATTTTTTGCCAAATATTTCGTTTACGCGCCATGTTGGATTTTCCTATATGACAAAAACAAGGGCTTTAAACAGCTGTGATAGAAGTCTTGGATAAATTGTATCTAAGGGATAAACTCAGCTGGCTTTTGAGTCTCTTGAGAAATTTGAAATTATAAAAGACCAAGGGAACTTTCAATAAGAGATTGTAATGAATTTGATAAATGTTAAAATAATGTCTAATCATATGATTTGAGGATGTCTTTGATTTTTGTTTATTGAAATCAGCAAATCTTGTGCATAACCAAGAATAGTTAGCAAGAGCTACAATTAATGTTCTTACTTATGACAAAATGAAATTATAACTGAAAAGAATTCATGAATCGGATGACTCTTCACATCTGCAGCTATAAGTAGATGACCAAATTCAAATCGGATATCTTCAATGGCTGTAGTAGTAGATGTTGTTAATACCATAATAAACCTACTAGTGATTGGAAGCATCAAACAACCATCCTATACCATGGCAGTGTTGGATCCTAGCAGAAAAATGGAGGGAAAATCCAATTAATCAATTTGGGATTCATCTAGGTGTAGTTAATGTAGGAACATTGAAGATTGGGTTAACAAATGCACACACAGAATTTAATGAAAAAAAATACTCCAACAATAATATTAAGATACTTACTGCCATATAATCCTACCCCAATTTGTTATTAGTGAAACGTGTAACAAGTTATTGGTTAGAGAGTCAATTAATTGTCATATTTTAGACTATGCTACTTGTGGTATGGTGCATATTGAAGTATAGTTACTGTTAATATGATTCCTTGGATGACAATAAAAAGAAGGTAATATGCAAAGAAAGTAAAAATGTTTTTAAATTTGAAGATGGTAAACATGTTTCTTTAAAACTTGATCGTATTCCACCTATAATTGGTATGGTTAAGATCCTAATTAATACATATTGTAGGTAATCAATTTACATGTAACACAATCTTACCATTCATTGTGTAAATCACAATATATGCTTGATGAAACTCTGGGAAATCCTTTCATTAAGATTACTTGTAACAAAACCTTGAGTGTTGAACAAAAGGCTCTCAAATTGCATTGTCCGTCTACACCCTAATTCCCCCCCCCCCCAGGAGATCTTTTTTATGATTAATAAAGAAGGCCTGTAGAAATGATTTTAAATTCCAGTCTGTATAGTGATGAAAACGGCGACTTACCTCGTCAAACCAAGCGACAACACATTGCGTGTATCCTATGATGGAAAATGTGACGAAAAAGAAAATTACTTACCAAAACAAAGGGCACGTATTCTGCATGACATGCTGAAGACGGAATATGTAAATTAAAAACAAGTCCATCGCAGGAGTCGCTGTAAAAGTATTTTGATATGCAAAAATTGGGCGTCCTCTCCCAGTTGTTGATGAATTGAAAAAATACTCATCCAATAAAAGCAGTTGGTGTTCTCGAATCGGGAAGAAAAAATTTGGGCATTTTGGCCACCGCGTTTGTCAGAGAGGGAGTTATTTTTCTGGCTGGTTGCGGGCATTGTAATTTGTGAGATAGTACCTGCGAATCGAGTTTTCAGCATTTCTTTCTGCCCCTGATGTTCGAATCTGAACTTAGTGATTTATTCTCTGTGTTGTGGAAGTAATCTGTGACAAATATTTCCTTTGCAATCCCAGGTGTTTTGGATGGTTGTGTTGCATCTTCTGGGGAGGACTTGGCCACTGCATCAAATAAGCAAAATGTTGTATAGCCCCCCTCATTTTGGGGGGCCTCTTAGTTGACAGTCTTGAGGTGATCATAATAAAGTTGTCTTCTTTCAGCTAGGTGATTGCTAGTTGGTTTTTAGTTTGACAATAAATGAGAGCTTCAACAAAAGGGATTTTAAACTTGTCTATTTTATTAAGCATGTTGACGTGTACATATTTAACTAGCCAGTGAGGTCACTCTATCACCCACACTGGGGAGCAAGTTCCCAAGACACGAAATAACCTCATCTGTGTATGACGTGTAAAAACTTAACTCCCTGAAATCACTTCCTTAACATTTCCATGTTCGGCTCAGCCAATCAACATTGACATCCCTATTTTGTCTACCATCTAACCTTAAAGGTCAGCCTCAGAAGGTCTGAGCCAAAATACACTGCCACTAAAAAATAATAGTCAGGAACTATTATTTAACATTTGCACAGAAAAACTTGTCCATCTTTACTGCTGGTCAAACAGAGAGGTATCTGTTTCAGAGTACACACATGTAAATTTATTTTAGAAAGACCAATTCAATGAAATTCCACTAAAATAGATCAAGCTGCGCCAACTAAAAATCCCCAATATAATATGCCTAAGAACAGTTTGATTCAAGAAGAAAGTGAGAGTGACAATAGAGAAGATGCCCGAGATAAGGAAGATATTGAGAATAAAAATGGCCTACCAGTTTCAGATTCAAAAGCTTTAATGGCACCAGGAAATAGAGGAAGACATTTAAAACCCAAAGGTAATACAGCTTGTACTTTGAATAAAAATACTACTTTAAAAAAGATTATGGAGGCTCAATATAAAGTTCATGATTGGGTAGCAGCAAAACTTATTTCTAAATCTGGCAAATGTGCAAATGAGTGGAATATTGAAAATGAAGCTTAGGAATAACAAGTGATTGATTTTGACAGATGGAAAGAATTTAATGAGGATATTGAATCCAGAATCATCTTAATCAGATGATACTATTATAGAAAACTCAAATAATGTAAATGTTTCAAACTGAAACACTGCAAGACACCCTTCAGGCCAAACAACAAATTAGAGAAGAAAAATGCTGTTTATGATGAAGTTGAGGATAATGAAGAAGATTGCATATCTGTAAGATGGGTTATAACACCAAAAATTATCAATGGAAAGCTAGGCTATATGCTTCAAGATTTGAGAAAACCCATGTGTTTAGGACAGATAGCCCCACATGCATGTGAAAAAGTGTATGAATTGTGTTGTCTTATTGCCTCAAATTCATGTATCTTTCATTCTATTGGTTATAAAACAGATTTACTACAAGGAAGATCAATTGATAGAAACCTTCATCTCTGTCCACCATGTGAATGTTAAACTGATAAAATTTGCAACCTTAAAAAAGACTGCTTATAGATTAGCAGATGCACCTAGCGTCTGGTTTTTATGACTCAAAGAAAAAATGATCAAACTTAGTGCATGGATAAATACATATGATCCATGTGTTGTGGCATTTTACAAATGGTCTTGAGGGTATTCTGGTATGTTTTATTAATAATCAATTGTGGTGGGGAACTAAAAAAATTTTAATTGTGTGATAATAAAATTAAGGAGTACATTTGACATAAGTTATGACCATTCAACTGTCTACAAGAATATAGGTATTGAACTTAATCAGAGAGACAATTTCTCCATCTGTATCAACCAGAAAAATTAAATAAAATGAACTGAACCTATTATCATGGATAGACCTCAGCAACTTCAAAAAGTTGATGCAGTTACCACTGAAAAGAAAGCTAAACTGGGATGCCTTGTTGGACAACTGAATTGGATTGCTGGCATGACACATCTTGACATAAGTTTTATTGTTTGCCAGTTGAGCCCAGAAATCGCAAATGCTAAAGTTAGCCATCTAAATAAGGCAAATAAGGTATGTGAATAACACACTTAGTGCCATCCATTGTTTATGGCTAAAATAATTGCAGAATCACAAAGGATGGCTCATTGAGTACAAATCTTTTGAAAGTGCTTCAAGAAGAACACACATAAAAAAAAGCTAAGTGAATTAAAGCCTTTGTTGAGTTCAATTTGTTGGTCTATATTCATTTAATTAACAAAGAAGAAAAAGGGAGATTATTAAGGTGAGTGGAGTTACTCCCCATGATATGAAGATGAAAACGAAAATTACCACGAGTTAACAAGAAAAAAATGTTATTGCATATAGAAATATACACAAAGAGGAATGTATTGCAAGATTAATTTACAATGTAAATGATTTTTTTTGTATAATTTTATAACTACGAAGTAATCTTAAAAATTTAAATAATTTAAGCATTCAAATATTTTATTGAATTTTAGGTACTTTATAGACTTATTTATGAAGCTGCTTATTGAGGATATGTTAGAAAATTTTTAATAAATTTTAAATTTACTATAGTTACTGCTCACATCATCTGATGATACTGTGTATTTACAAAAATGCTCATGTTTATTACAAAAAAAATATGACACAAAAAAAATTGAAAATTATTTTTAAAATACTGGAATTGTAGTAAGCTTTTCCATTTATCTGTGATGTTTTACTAGTTCTGTTTTTTTTTTCTTTATAATTCCTTGTTAAATTCTTTTTAATTAGGTTGTTATAGTCCTCTGCTGTTAATTTGTAGAAATTTCTGGATTTATCAGACTTCACCAGTACTTTATCTGTGTTTTTGATACATTTACTATTTGGTCCAAATGCTTTTGGAAGTAGCTTTTTCTTTTTTTTAACTTTAAAATTGATAAAATTAGAAAAATATAGCGAATTGAGAAACCTAAATTTAAAAATTACAGTTAACTCAAAATTGAATAGGGTAAACTTCCTCGACATAACATTAGACTTAATGAATAACGTATACCTACCTTACAGAAAACCTAATACAAATCCTTTGTATGTACACCCCAGGTCAAATCATCCTTCCTCTATTAAGCACATGCTGTTATCAACTGAGAAAAGAATTAGTAGAAATTTTGCTAATGAAGAAATATTCTATAAACATAGTAATTTTTACAACTAAGCTCTAAAAAACAGTGGCTACAATTATATAAAAAAATAACAGTACAAACAAAAAGAAAATCATTTGGTACAATCCTTACTCCCACCATTCCCAACCCTGTTCAACCAAATGGTTAGTAATAAACTAGGGCAAAAATTCCTTGCTTTAATCAAAAAATATTTTCCTAATAACAGTAAACTTAGCAAGATTTTTAATAAAAACACCCTAAAATTAAGTTACAGCTGTACTGAAAATTTAGAAATGATTATAAAAAAACATAACAAAATATTGAAAAAATACGCATGCCAAAATCAAATAAATAAAGATCCTAAAATAAAATTAGACAATGATAATGAAAAATTATGTAATTTTAGAAACTGAAAATTGCCCTTTGAATAAAAGATGCCGCATAGAATCTGTAGTATACCAATGTACAATCGCATCCATTGAGAATCCAAATATTGAAAAGATGTATATAGGATCCACAAGAAATGAATTTAAAATGCAAAATAATAAATAGAACAAGAACTTGTAGGACCTGGGATGACCCATGCCCTTTATATCTACATGAAAAACTACACATTAAATTTCTAAAAAAAACAAAAATTTATTAAATCAAAGTAATGGAATAATGGTTTTTTGCAGACACCACCATATATACACCTTAAAAAATTAGTAATTTATAAATGGATAGAAAAAATTTTTACAATAGAAATTAAATCTATCTATCTCTCTCTCTCTCCTCATATATATATATATATATATATATATATATATATATATATATATATATATATATATAAAATAGATTCCACAATACCATATAAAATCTATTAGTAAATTAAATTAATTTCAGACACATTTAAAACTATAGAATTAAAAATACAACCCAATCATATCTAAGGAACCATCAACAAAAAAAAAATTAACACCAAACAGACTGTAACTATAACATCAGTCAGTAAGTTTTAACAAATAGTAACAAAAAGAAGAGCCTGAGAAAAAATAAGGTCATTGTAGCCAGACAAAAATCCCCCAAACGAACCTTACACAACTCAAGAAAATTTGATATATATTAAACTTCATGCTTTCATCACAGTAGTGACCACCTGATAATGAAAAAAAAAATATATATTACATCTCCATTTCCAACCTATAAATGAGTAAAACAGTTCTTCGGTTAGTTATTCTAAACATTGCTTGAAAATGAAACTGCACTCTAAATTTTAAGTTTAATATTGAAATAAAGCTTTTAAGACTTGAGTCAAGTTTCGAAACAGTAATTTCTGTGTCACAATGGAATCATATTTTTAAAAAATAATTGATATGTATATAATATTTTATTTTTATTTTAGGAACAAATCTTACGAATATTTTATGTGTGGGCTTTGTGTCGTGACCAAGAAGAACTTGACCCCCGGGCAGCATGGAAACTAATGGATATTTCTGCGAGCTCTGCTGAACAGTGGTTGTAGTTTAGCAATGATTAGATATTTGCTGCTGGTGATTCAACATTTAAAGCTGACAGCCATACAAAGAAAGATGAGGAAATATATTCTCTCATAGAAGATTAAAGAGAAAAAAAAAAGTAGTCAAAAAATTCCATGTAAAAATGTCATTATAAACACATGAAAAAACAAAAAACAAAAAAAAAACAGAAAACTGAAGAACCTGTGATATTTTCTGCATCAACAACAAAAAACTCCAATGTTTCTTTGTAGTGACTGGTTAAGATTGGCTCAGCAAGAAACACTTAGAACATTTACTTCAGCAGTGTGCAGCCTTTACTCTTGTTATACCACTATGCTGTAATGTATTTTGTTTCTGTTGAGAGCCATTTGATAAATTATTTTTGGTCATCTACAGTCTTTGTCTTTTTCCTTCCTTTTTATTTTTTTATTTTTTTTATTCTTTTTCATATTTTAATTCTAACTTTTTTTATGAGAAATCATGACAAACCCAATGGTTAGGCTTTGAAATATTTCTACTTTATTTTTACAGCAGAAACTTGTGTGTTTTATTTTTATTTCTTGTAAATGAAATTAAATCACATTTAATCTATCTAGTTATTGTGATTTAAGTTTAATTTTTTTCTCTTCACAAAATAATTTAGGTGCTGTCAACAAAAAAAAACAACTTTTCTCTTGTTAGAAGTGGCAGTAAAACAAGGATAATAAGAATGGAGGAGGGAAAGCAGACTTTTTCTTTTTTTGTTTTCAGGCATTTCTTATATTTTAAAATTCTTCCAATTCAGTCATGGAAAATTGGTTTCCATTTTTGCTTAATCAGATTTCATTCAAGCCTTTAAAACTGAAAAAAATCACGCACACACTCATGATTACATTTTACCTGTTTAAAACTATATATTATGAACTCTAAAGAGCAGTGATTTGATTAATCAGCCACAAATTTTAAAATGTTTATAATTATTTTAATAGTTTATACAATTTGAACCAGAGACTTTGTAATTTCTGATGCACTTATCACTGAACTCTCTCTCTCCCACTATAATCAGTCATTTTACTCTTTTCAGTAAATGATTTCATATTTGACTTGTGCAAATTCTTTATCATGTTTCATGTTTATAATTTCTTTATATCTTGTTAAAACTTTTTTTTTTTTTTTTTAAATAAAAAAAATAAATATTGGGAATTAAAAATTGGTGTGTGTATCTTTAATTTTTTTTTTTTTTTACTTCCATGTTGTAAAGTTTTCATTTCATTTCTTCTATCATACAGCATTGTTAAATAAGCTAGTTCAGCTATTTCAACATTTTGTGAATTATCAAATTCTATCTTATATAAACCAATTCCTTCCCCCATCATTGAACCAAAGAATTTCTTAGTTCTTCTTTTGGGTTAGTTTCTTGGAACTGTTATTGCTAGATACACTTTCTCAGTGACTGAAGTTACTGTAAACATTAAAAACAGCATTTCCTTCAATCCATTTTAAAATGATTAAGTAAACTCCAAGACAAGTAAATTACATAGGAACATCTTAATTATAGTTTTTTTCACTCGAACTTATTCGATTGTTCAGTTTTACTTTTGTTGACAAATTTTTAAACTCTCAAAAATATTTGGTAAGAATTCATGGTCATAGGCTCCAGACAATTTATTTGACCAATGAAAAGTGAAGATGTGTCATTCACTTGAAAATGTCTGGAGAGCCTGTAAGCTCAAATTAATGCTTGAAAAAAATTTATGGAATAGGTTGTTTCTTTTTTTGTTGTTGTTTTTTTTTTTTTTTTTTGTGTGTGTGTGTGTGTGTGTGTTAACAATTTTCTGAATGTTTCAGTAATTTCTCCTGCCCAATTAAACAGTCTCCAAAAATATTTTATCAGTTTTCATTTCCACTGCTATTAGTTATTATGAGCCATTGTAGAAAATGATTTCCTTGTAAAATTAACCTTTGTTTTTGTTGCCCATTTATCATTTGCCATTTTGTTTTTTTAATATAAATCTTTATTTTTTTATTGTATGTAATTTTCATACTAAAATGAAATTGTATAGTGTGCATATCTCGGAAATGCTGGCAAAGATCACAACCTAAATTTTAAATGCAAATTTTTTATTGTCGTGTTAAATAATTTTTATAAGATGTGTATTATCTCCCTTCCTCACCTCCAAAATATTTTGATTATTTAGAAAGAATTTTCAAAATGAACAAATCTGTTTGAAAAAATATTTTCAAGGCAAAAATACATTTAAAATTTCATGCAAAATTTTGACAATGTGAATTTTTTATATTATTAGATTTTTGTAATTTATTTTAATGATTTATTCAGAAATTTTAAATTGTATCTTTTAAATATATAAATTATTATTATTTTCCTGAAGACAATATGTATAGAAAGTGCATGTGTGTTTGTTTCTCAGATCAGTTATTCTTGAAATGCTGAATACATAGTGTATTTTCTGGGAATATTTAGTGATTTGGTGAAAAAAAATTGTTGCAAAATTTTTCACTAGAACTTGTATTTTCCTTTCCTCATAAATTTTGTTCAGTCAAATTATTTCTAGTCAGTTAATGACAAGGGATGAAATGGGGGGAAAACATTTAGTGTGTGCTTGTGGCAAATTTAAAATTTTCTTGGTTTATATCTAGCACCAAAAGGCTTAAGTTTCTACAGCATTATTGATCATTTTTGTATTAGGATTTTTCCTCAAAAAATTAAACATCAAATCCTACACAAAAAAAATATAGTTGTAACTTTTATTGCGATGGAAATCTTTACTGTACATTTGCTACTATTTACAAGGAAACTAATGAAATGTATTTACCAGTTACTTACTAATATAATTGTTTACTATAAATACAAATGTTTTTGTTATACCAAATGAAACTGATAATCTCTCAATGTTTCAGAAAATGCAATTAATGTATAAAGAACTTTTAAAGCATGTAATTGTTTTAATATTATGTAACATTTAACAAAAATCAGTAGCAATGAAATATGAAAACTTTGAATCTCCTTATTTGTTTTTATTTTAGTTTATATCTTATGAAAATATTTCAGTTTCTATGAGAGTAGCCATTTTAACCAGTGACATATAATTCTTCATTGTTCAGTATGGTTAAAATATTGAAATTCCACGATTGTCATTGAATTAGGAAGGATCTTTACCAGCATTTCACCTCAGAGAAGGGAAGCGCTGATTGTATGTAAAGAGTTTGTCTTCAAGATGGTCAGTCCTGGTCAATCAGATATATAACAACTTTAGTAAATTCTCAAGAAATTTTGAATTAAAAGAAAAACAAATTTTAACTCTCATTTCTGTTATCTCTGTATTTGTAGAATCTATAGAAAAATATCAGCTTTGTAATTTTTAAATTCTTGAAAATCCAATAGAAATATTGTCACCAAGTTCTGACTTCTTCTTAGGGTCATACTGATAATATCCAAGAGAAATGATTTTAATTTTCACTTCCAAAATTGTTTTAATACTAATAAATAATGTGATTCACACTGAGTGTTTCTTAGAGATTTGATTAAAGAGTTTTGTACTTGGAACTAGAAATTGAAGTCTCAACTTTGAACAAGTTTTTCACACTTTGCCACTTTGGTGAGACTTTGTTGTGTTCATGCAAAAACAACATAAAACTGTAAAAAGTTGATCAATACTTCATAAAAATTGGACATTTACTGCTGATTATAAAGTGGGAGCAGTTTATATAATTTAACTGTGAAATTATTCTGGGAATGCTGTAAATAGACATTGAAATATAAAAAAAAATTTCTTCTTTTATTAATCCAGTACTAATATTTTTTTTTTAAATGATGTAATTTAATTTTAATGTAGTTTTAGATAACAGAAAAACATTAGGCACACTTTCTCTGGAAAGTTTTGCTATAATAAAATAAAACCTTAAAAACTCTGCCAAGGTTTTGGATAACATGTTCTGACAAATCCAGACAATCTGTGATGTCTTGCAGAGAATGTTCAGTTTCACTCCCCATTCCTTTGATTGTTGCTGTATTTTTTTGCATCACTGAGACAAGATTTCTTTTGCGTGCCATTTTTACATACATAATGGCTTTGTATTTAGCTTTGAACCTGTTAAGAAATGGGGGAGGAATATTGTGTTGCACCATTTTTTTCCTTGAGAGATGGTCAGTTTGGCCATCTACTTTGAAAAACAATCATTTGAGCCTTTGGATTGAACACTGACCTCTTATTACTCATATGAAATCTAATTATTTCAAATTTGTTTTATCTTCATATCCTTTCCTGGATGAGTTTCAATTTGTTTTTTATCTCACTGTTTATTCTCTCATTTCTCAAGAGCTTTGAAAGCTGATAGATTTTGAAAAAGTGTCTTCAAAAATTTATTATTGAATTTTCATGAACTGCTTCTCAATCTTGCCTGATGACTTTTAGGAACTTTTGATAACAATAAAGATTACTCTTGTATTTGAAAAATACAAGTCATACAAATCTGCCATCTTTTCATTTTGCAATTTGACTTTTTAAAAATGACAGTTTGGCAAATGATGATTAAACTAAGAAATTAAAGAAAAATCATAGTCATTTCCATTATTAATTTTGATAAATGAATTTTATTTCTCAGGTTTTATTTCCTAAAATATTAAACCTAACTCTCTGTTGTTTAATGCAATGTCCTGAAAGGATACAGAATCTGTGGCGTCTTGATCACCTTTTTCTTTATTATGGGAATTGCTATAACTTCCTGGGGAAGATTTCCTATTGCCTTCTACACAAAGTTTCAAAGTTTTCCTTCTCTAAGACTGGTTCCCATTCAAGGTTAAAGCCAAATCTATCCTGTTATTTAACTTATAGCTGAAGGGAGAAGAAATAGATCCATGCCTTTACTAAGGTTGCTAGAGCAAAAGTGAATGCAACAGACTAGACAGGAAATTAAACTTGTTAATTTCACTGTTTACACTGATAGCTGTTGAACTTCATTTAAGAAATATAAAGACAAAAAATCAATCATTCCATTATCAAATGTC